TACACACACACTCACACTCACACACTCTCTCACACACATGCTCTCACACACACACTCACACACACGCAGGAATACTGCCAGGTGGAGCCCCTAGTTCCCAGGAGAAAGTGGGGGTACCCCGCTGGGGGAAATGGGGGGCGGAGAGGAGCCGGGGTACCTTACTTGCGGGCTGGTCCTTAGCTGGCAGGTGCAGAGGGAGAGACGCCAAGAAGTGCCTCCTCCGCGGCAGCCTCTGTGGTCCCCGGACCAACAGGACACACTCAGCTGGGACCAGTGCCAGGAGCAAGCACCCCTTTCTCCCTGGCAGCGTCCACGCACATGGTCCTGGCAGGACCGGCAGCTGCCAGAGTGCCTCCGGGGCAGCTGGGCTGGCAGGCGGGCGGGCCGCTGGGCAGCTGGGCTGGGGGGCGGGCAGGAGGTGGCAGGATGCCGGCGGCCGGGCAGGAGCCCCCGGGAGCCAGGTGCCCGCCCTGCGCTCGGAGGCAGAGGGGGCCAGGGTGAGCCCACTCCCGCTAGAGCTCAGCTATCTGTCACCGGGAGGCAGAGACTGTTCATCCCGCGGCATGCATTATTCAGTAGCTCTCCCTGGGAACGCAGACACCGCACCCGGAGTCCTGTCATTAACAAGTCCCTCTGCCTGTCTTCTCCCTTCTCTCCATCGCCCCGCTCTGCACCCCACTCCGGTTGCTTTTGTTCCCATCCCTTCAGCGCGAGAATAAAACTCAGGGTGTTCCCTGCCGCCCCAGTGCCTCCCACCGGACTGGTGCATGCTGGGGGAGACTCCCAGTCCCAGGACTGACCTCCCCCCCACCATTTCCAGGGAGAATTCCTTCTGTTCTAATGGAAATTTATTCTTTCTTTGGTGCGGTGGGACCTGGGTAATTATCCCCAGAAACCACCCCCCCAACCCCTGTTTAAATCAAAATTTCCATTTTTTTTTTTCTCTTCTCATCGCCACACTCCTTTCGCTCCTTTCGGGGTTCAGCTGGGGTTTCAGTCATGAGAAGGTTGGGGGGCGGAAATGACAGGGTCCAAAGTGAGAAACGGGAATGGGGGGAGCAAAGACCCAGAATGCCCCGCAGTGACTGCCCGATGCCCCTCAGACGCCGGCCCCACGGGCTGGCGCTGGGTGGGCTCCGGCACTCGCGTGCGATTGAACTCATCCCAGGAACTCCGTGCTCGCGGGGACTGATGGTTTGTTTTGTTTTGTTCCCCGCGTGGTGTGTGGGGGAGACGCGGGTGGGGTTGCTGGACGCCTGGGCCCCACGCAGGGCATCAGCCGACCTGTCCTGGTCACGTTCGTGCTGTGGGATCGGTTCCCCCTCGGACCCCAGCCCACAGCGTCCGCAGCGCCTGCAAACGTGTTGGAAGTATTTGGACCCGCGGAGGCAGACGGGGTTGCAGAGAAGAACACGGAAACCCAGACTGTCCGTCAGTGACTTACCCAGAGTCACACACAGTGAGGGCCCGTGCTGTGAGCGTGTCCACGCTGTGAACCGGGTGGTCCATGACCCACAATCCACCTGGCCCCACCGACTCCACTTCCTAAGAAAACAGCATAGCAAGCCCACGGCCTCGTTCTCCTCCTGGGAAGTTGTAAGCCTGTCTTTTTTTTTTTTTTTTTTTTTTTTTTTTAAGATGTTTGTATTGATTTCAGATAGGAAGGGAAACATCCATGATGAGAGAGCATCATGGATTGGCTGCCTTCTGCACAGCCCCTATGGGGGGTTGGGAGCCCACAACCTGAGCATGCGCCCTTGGCTGGAATCGGACCAGTCTGCAGACTGACGCTCTACCCACTGGGCCACACCACCAGGCCCTCTCCATGTGTCTTTTCTGGGTGAATTGAACTGTACCTGACATTTCCACTGGCGTCTCCACAGCTATGGCCCGGCCCCAGGCGTCTGCCGTGTAACTGGCCCCAGGAGGCCCTTGTCTCATTGGCACGTGTGCAGGGTGCAGAGCGGCCTGGCTCCCTCGGAGTGCCCATCTGTGAGGCCGTCCAGGCCCCTCTTCCCTGACCTGCCTTCCCACCCTTTCCAGGAAAAGCAATTGGACTAACATGGCTTTGGCTTGGTCTCTATCCAGAAGGGACTTTTTTCCTTCCAGGAAGAGGTTTATTATAGTCATGTGTTTTTTTAATCTGCTTTAAAAATATGTCTGAGAGACTTAGGCATTTGATGGAGATCGTTTCGTGGTTTTAAGCATTTAGGAATTATTTTCTGTTGTTTCAATGATGAGATCAGATCCCTTGAAAAGTGTGCAGTGTGTGTACATATCGCTGATGGGGAAAAAGATCGCACACTTATAGAAGCCTGGCCGTAATCACTAACACCCTTAATTACAGGTCAGCAGAGGTGATAGGAAAACAATCAAAGAAACCGTGTCCTTTTTGAGACTAAATTAGGATGATGAGGGAACAAGTGCCCGGAGCCACAGCCCAGTCCGCCCTCCTCGAGGCCATGATGGTGGCCAGGAAACTATTGTCCTTTCCCTGTGGGACCCGCCTCCGAGGTCAGCCGGGCTCCGGATCTGAGATGGTTCTCTCATCCCCGGCCAGGACACGCCGGTTTCCAATCAGGACCAGGATGCCGGGACCCGCTCCCCGCCTCCCGCTGCCTTCGGACCTCAGCACACGCCCGCTCCCTGGGGTCCCCCTCAGACCACCCTCCCCCCCGCCCCACTTTCTCTGGTCCCCGGGAGAGGCGTGTTCAGGGGCTGGATGGTCATTGTTTGGTGTCTGAGTGGAAACGTCAAACCTGAACGCGTCTGCCTTCGGTCAACGTGCCTTTTCAACACCGCATCGTAACACGTGTCATTTCAAGAATTAAATTCAGCCGAGACCGGTTTGGCTCAGTGGATAGAGCGTCGGCCTGCAGACTGAAAGGTCCCGGGTTCGATTCCGGTCAAGGGCATGTACCTTGGTTGCGGGCACATCCCCAGTAGGGGGTGTGCAAGAGGCAGCTGGTCGATGTTTCTCTCTCATCGATGTTTTTAACTCTCTGTTCCTCTCAATTTCTCTCTGGGTAAAATCAATAAAATATATATTTTTTAAAATAAATTCTTTAAGATGCTACACTCCCGCTGAGGATCAGCAGGAACTGGTTAATTTACAGGCACGTCTCGGCAGCTGATTGATGTTTCTCTCTCATCGATGTTTCTAGCTCTCTCTCCTTCTCCCTTCCTCTCTGTAAAAAAAATCAATAAAATCTATTAAAAAATAAAAATAAAGCACGTTGGTCAGCTTGCTGCAGGCCAGAGGGGAGAGAGCAAGCCGTGATGTAGCTTGCCTCTACTGGGGGGGTGGGGGGCCTGCGGGTTAAAGGTCAGCAAGCTCATGTCTGTCCACTTCCAACCAGCTCCAGATTGCAGTGTTTGCATGAAAAGTCGACCTGCAATGTTAAGTTTCTACTTGCACTCACCACAGTTAGAATTCTCTACAAAAGCTCTTTTTCTCCTCCTCATGATGATTGTCATAATGCAATCCATAGAGAAGGAGCTGGGTGGGAATATATTACCATTTCAATTCGGCTCAAAATAACCTAATACCGTTATTTCCACTCCGCGCGGGCTGGGGCCGCGGCCGTGCAGCCTATGCGGACACATGGGACACGGAGCTCCCGCTGTGCGGTCACCTTGCCGGAGTCGGAAACTCCCATTTGTCTCCAGAGTCAGCACCACCCGGTTCCTGCTCTGCCGAAGCCCAGGAGGCTCCCGCAGTGCCAGGACCTCTGCCTCCGAGGCTCCGAGGGAGAGAGCCCAATGGCGGGTGCTGTCCGCTCATGGACCAGCACCTGATCGGAAAGGAAACTTCTAACGTGTCAGTGGGTTAGCCCGCAGGCCACACGAGGCCGGCGGAATCCTTGGGCCTGGCCCTGTCTGGGATGAGTGAATCCAGTGTCTGACCCAGCCCTGACCGGTGTGGCTCAGTGGATAGAGCGTCGGCCTGCGGACTGAGAGGTCCCAGGTTCGATTCCGGTCAAGGGCATGTACCTTGGTTGCAGGCACATCCCCAGAAGGGGGTGTGCAAGAGGCAGCTGGGCGATGTTTCTCTCTCATTGATGTTTCTAACTCTCTATCCCTCTCCCTTCCTCTGTAAAAAAAAAAAAATCAATAAAATATGTATTTAAAAAATAATATTAATTAATTAAATGTCTGACCCAGCAGAGCAGGCTGAGTTAAGCTGACACGTCTGTACGACCCACACACGATGTGATAAATACCCACAAGGCTCTGGGTCAGTCCGTGGCTCTTACCTTCCGTCACTCCTCTGCCTGCTGCTGCTGGGACCCCCTGGCTGACCCGGGCACCCCCTCCCCGAGTTCCCACCCCGGGACCACGTGAGCTCCATGACCCGCCGGCGGGAAGTGTGTTGCTACCAGCTCCTTGGCTTGTTTTTTTTTGAGGGGGCGGGGGGTGAAGGTGGGAAGGAGGAACTAAATCTGTCGGAAAGGACTGTCTGACCTTATCGCCGTGTTTGTCAGGTCTGTGACGTCACAGGAAACCGGTGTAAGACGAGGCCCATGGCCGCCTCGGGCCCGGCTGTCCCCTGCGCTGGACGCAAGCAGCGAGGCTGCCCTCCCGCCCCCACAGCCTCTCCCGCTGCTCGGACACTTTCAAGGGGCAAACGAGGAGGGAAGAGCCTCGGCGAGGCCGCAGCCCAGAGGGTCCAGTCCAGCTGGAGACATAGAATCGCTGAGGCTTCTCCCCGAAGCCGGCTTCTCCCGGCGGCGCCCACAGTCACGAATGACCCACAGAGCGCCGCTCTGCGCTTTATGAGCAGAACGGGCGTCACAGAGAGAGACACACGCCCAGACGCCGCGTTCCCCGGTGGCCGGGCCGTTCGGAGGTCCCTCTGGGCTCACCGTCAGGGCTTCCCGGACGCCGGGAGCCGGAGAAGCTCGATGGGAGGCGCCGGCCAGACGGGATCCACACAAGCCCACAGAGACACTTTGGGCCATTCGTAATGCAAGCCCAGATCACAGAAGCCAGCGGACGTGTGAATGGCATAAAACTTTTATTATTTAGTAGCAGTGTATCCGCCTACACTTCAAAATAGAACAGAGCATCTTTGGGAAAGTAAAACTATTCATAACAAAATACATGTCAAACGATTTTTCATTATTGCAGTAGAATTTACTTTGCTATATACTTTATTATATACATCCTCTTCTCGGTTCGCCTACGTATGCACATGTGTATAAATAATGTTTAAGACGTACACATGTGGATACCTAGGACGAGTGCGCGCGCACACGCCTGGGAGAGTTACAGCAGTCACTGTTACAATCATTTTCGTAGCTGCACACGAGTTAGTGTTCACAGAACCAGCGAGTCTGTGTGGCTCCCTGCCCTCCTCCAGGGTCACCTGGATGGTGGCCACTGATCCCTTTGTAAAAAAATACTGCCACCTGTACATTTCACCAATCTCTCTCTCTTTTTTTTTTTTTTTTTTTTTTTTTTTTACAATAACTCATAATAAAATAGTTCACTATTTCGGCTTTAGAAAAAGTATACAATTTGTGATCCCTAAAAACATACCCTTCTCTTTATTTTAAATCAACTTAGTGCAATGATTTGGTACTGTCGTTCTTGGAGGTTAACTAACCCACCTGAGTCAAACGTTCACTCAAACACCAGGTAACGTTTAAGACGTAAAACGATCGGGAGGCTCCACTGAAGCGTGGGTAGAAGGGTCTAGAGGCCCCTCCTAATACACACACAGAAATCACCCGGCGGGCGAGGCCTGCAGAGGCGCGCCCTCCGAGGCGGGGCCCGGGGGTCCTCACAGGCCCCTGCTCGCCCAGGGCTCCTCTCTGACAGGCGAGGACCGCCTAGCAGCATCCCTTCCCTGTCCTCTTCCTGGCGTGAACACGGGCGAGCCCAGGCCAGCCTGCCTCGCCCACAGCGGGCCGCCCTGCTGGCCCTGGAGCCGGGGGCCCGGGAGCCCGGAGCCCTTTCCTGGAGGATCCCGGAGCCCATCCCTGGAGGAGCCCGCTCCGAGCAACACCCAGCGAGCCGGCCGGCCGTGAGGCTCAGGGTCCGAAAGCCCGAGGAGGCGACGCTGAGCCGCTCAGCAACCAAAACGGAGGGGAAGCGAGGTCGGTGCCGGGCCGAGGAGCAGTGCTCTCGGGAGAGAGACCTGGGCAGCCCGGGCCGCGGACCCCCTTCCCCGATGGAAGGGCCTCCGGGCAGGGACACGTCCCTCTCCGAACACCCTCCCCAGGCTCCTGCCCCGAGGGCTGCGGCCAGCACACCGCACACCACACGGCACAGATTCAAAATACAAACGTGTGTTTTTGGTAGCAAAGAGCAAGAAAACCTAAGTCAAAATATAGTCTAACTTTTCCATCATTGTATATATTTATAAATTTATCAAAATAGGCTTTTTGACGTTCATAATACATACATCATGACGCTGTACAGATACACGCAGTAAGAAAAGGATCCCGCGGGGCGTTAAAAGCCCTTCGGGTGGCCGGCCCGCGTTAAAGCATCCTGAGCGGCGTCGCAGTCTGCCTGGGCCGCGGGGCCGGCCGGTCCCTGAAGGCCGTCTAACGGGGGGACGCGGAGGTATCCGGTGCCGCAGCCGGTGCTGGCCCTGGTCCCGGTGCAGAGGTGGCGCTAAGAGCAGCGAGCGGTCCTGACGGCGGGCCTCAGTAATGGACATACTCAGACTGGAGGGACTGCGCGGGAGAGACACAGGAGGCAATGCCGTCAGAGACGCCTGCTCCCCACACAGCTCCCGCCTGCCTGCCTGCCTGCCTTTCTTCTATCCTTCCTGCCTCCTTCCTTCCTTCTTCCTCCCTCCTTCCTTCCTTTCTTCCTTCCTTTCTTCCTTCCTTCCTCCTTCCTTCCTGCCTGCCTGCCTTCCCCGCGGTGCTGCGGCCTGCTCCCCAGAAGGCCGGGAGATGCAGGAGGGGGCAGATGAGAGGCGCGAAGCATCGGCTAAGGAGGGGTGTGCCATTCCCAAAGTGGCGGCAAGAAAGGTTTGATGTTGAAAGGTTTGCCAATGACCCCAGCTGGGGGCTCGGTTGTCTGAACACCAAAAGGCCGCAGGTTCGATTCCCGGCCAGGGCACACGCCTCAATGGCGGGCTGGATCCCTGGCTGGCTGCGAATGGGAGGCAGCTTATCTTTCTCAAAGAAAACCAATAAGCGTACTTAGAGAAGGATTAAAAAGCCCACTAACTGCCCTGGCCGGTGTGGCTCAGTGGATAGAGAGTCGGCCTGTGAACTGAAAGGTCCCTGTGTTGCAGGTTCGATCCCCATTGTGGGTCATACAGGACGCAGCTGATTCTTGATTCTCTCTCATCGTTCATGTTTCCATCTCCCTCTCCCTTCCTCTATGAAATCAATAAAAATATATTTTTTAAACTCACTAATTATTGATAGTAGTGATGACAAATTAAATATTATTTGAAAATCGGTAGGTAGGGCTCAACTCGCTTCCATGCTCTTGTGCAATAATATTGGACTTTCCTCAGCAATATTAAACGACACCTGTCACTAAATTGGGGGTGATTAGAATAGACTTTACAAATATGTATAATTCTGAATGCAACGCAACACATAGCGAATGAACGTTCATGTTTCTGATGCAGCAGAACGGGCAGTCCCTTAACTAAGCTCCTCGAGGATGGGGGACTGTAACGCAAACACCTTACAAATCCTTTCCTTTTAGGGGGACACAAAGCACAGCTCTGAACTCTGACCTTCCCTCCCCAGAGCATTTGTGCGGAAGAGCCAGGCGGCCCCCACGAAACAGTGGGAAGTTTCTAAAAAAGTAAACACTGCACGTTCCTCCTGATCACGTCCGATACTGACGTACAAGAGGAGCACGTGGCGAAGCGGAACCAGAAGGCTCTGGTCCTAAAGTGACCCAGGAAAAGACGGGGGGACCCAGCTGCTCTGGTCCTAAAGTGACCCAGGAAAAGACGGGGGGACCCAGCTGCTCTGGTCCTAAAGTGACCCCGGAAAAGACGGGGGGACCCAGCTGCTCTGGTTCTAAAGTGACCCAGGAAAAGACGGGGGGACCCAGCTGCCGGACAGGACTCTGGGCAGCCAGCGGCAGTGAGAAACAGCAGCCCAAACCAGTGCAAACATTCCCCAAACCCCTGCCCAGTCCTCCTCCGTCCACACCCGGGACAGATCCTCCCACCTCCATGCCTCGGAACTGGGATTACGGGATTTGCTCGCGTGCCCTCCCTCCTCCCCGAGAACCTTTGCCCAGCCCGTCCGCAGCGCGCTGTGGCTCGGTCGTGTCCGTGCTGGGGCCGGTCCGTTCTGTTGACGGGAACAGGGCATCCGTCCACTTTGCAAATAATTTACTGAAAGATCCAGACTCTCTCTGTGCACCTTTCAGTCCTCCCCGCGCCGCCTACCGAGGAGTCTCCACCACACCGTGAGCCCTCGGGGGCCACCACCGCGCTCCACGCAGACGGAGAGTGAGAGACCGCGGTGTCCGCGTTTCATGAAAACAAACTGAGGGTGAGCCAGCGCCGGGCACAGTGGGAGATCAGGCGTGGGGAGGGGTGTGTGTGAGGGGGAGCAGGGACAGTTTGTGGGGGTTAGGGGCTGGGGGTCTCGAGGCGGCAAGTTTCAAAGACGAGGTGAAAGGTTAAGAGCGCCCCTAAAGCTCTAGCTGGTGTGGCTCAGTGGATAGAGCGTCGGCCTGCAGACTGAAGGGTCCCAGGTTCGATTCCAGCCAAGGGCACATGCTTGGGCTGCAGGCTTGATCCCCGTTGTGGGGACGTGCAGGAGGCAGCCAATCAATGATTCTCTCATCATTAATGTTTCTATCTTTCTCTCCCTTTCTCTCCCTCTCTGAAATCAATAAAAATATATTTTAAAAATAAATAAATGTAAATAAATTTAAAAAATTAAAAAAAGCGCCCATAGAAAGAAGGACAAGGGCTTGGCACGTCTCCCCACAGGATGTGGGTCATGCCGAGGCTTCAGACCAGGAGGGCATCCGGCACTGTCTCACACGCCTGATGCCCAGGGGACTGATTCCCAGCTCGCTTTCGGGACTGTTCTAAAACACGTCTTCTTTATAAAACGCCCAGGACTCAGCATTCTGACTCACGCTTTCATTATGCGTGGCCCGTTGTTTTTATCTTTGCCATAAGAAGTAATTCCTCATGCATCTCAAGTACTAAAAAAAAGGGGGGGAGCAATGCAAGTGAAGGGTGGGAAACTGAGGCATAAATATTACTTTACAAGAAATATTTATATAATCAAGCACTTATTTCTATAACAAGAGATTTTAATTACTACCCAAATAGAACATTCGGTTTCTTGGGACCGGTAAGTTCCAGCGGGTTATACTGGGTTCAGACCAGATAAGCTTATCGTGAAGATAAGAAGTGCAAACCATAAAATTAGTAGCGCAGCCGTAATTAACCTGGAAAATGAGCCAAAAGTTACCCCCAAATAAATGATGTCAAAACAGAAGAAGTCGAATTCCCTGAGAGCCGTTAGGTTTGACAACAAACAAGTGTTAGGTGAGGAGATGAAACCCTGTTCTCCCCGGAACCAGCTCCGAGCCCGTGCTGGCAGGTGTAGGTAGTGCTTTAGAGTTAGCTGTTCGGGCGTTTCTTTTTTAATCAGCCCGTTACCTAATCGCGGTGGGAAAACCGCTGGTGATCGGAGCTATAAATACGGGCAGGCCTTTTATCCAGAGCCCACGCGGCTCTCAGAGGCAGGGCGGGGAGGAAGCTGAGAGATCCCCGTCTTTGCCAGCAAACGAATGAGGCCGATCTTCATAGTCCAACATCCCGCCGCCCAGGACCCCAGGCCTGCTGTCAGTCTCCCACGGGTCCGAACCCGCTCACCGCCCCCCTGCTTTTCCCACGCTCGCTCCCGCCCCCTGCCAGTCCCTGAGGAGGAGAGCGCAGCTCCCTGCCGCCCTCGGTGTGGCTCTCCCTCAGGGGACGGGCCTTACGGAGGTCTGTCTATGGCACAGACCGTGGACGGGGAAGACCCCGGGCTGCGGGAGACACCTGGCCCGGCTGGGCCTGGGGTCAGGTGAGGACAGGTGGGGAGCCTCAGCGAGAGGAGCTGGAACATTCGGCACAGAGCGTTCGGGTGCCGCCACCTTGATGGAACGCTTCCCGCGCCCACGCCCGTCCCCGCCCCAGCTCCCCGCGCGGCAAACACCCCGACGTCAGAGGGGCCGCTTCCCCCTGCAAGTGGGTCACTGAGCGCCACCTCGCCCGCCCCCCGGGACCAGCCGAGGGGCCAGAGGAACAGAGCGGCTGCCGGCCTGGGGCCCGCCCCCCTCCCGGCCCCGGCCCTTCCTGTGGGAAGCGGGGAGACAGGCCGGGGTCCGCCGTCCTTCTGGGGCTGAGCTGCTGCGGAGAGCGAGGGAGGAATCACAGCTCTCAGAAACGAGGCTGATTGCAGCTTCTAACCTGCTGGACGCCCGAGCCCCAGGGCTTTCGGGGGCTTTCTCCCGGTGCGGGGTGCGGGGTGGCCCCGGACTCCCATCCTCCCTGAGGACGTAGGAACTTCACAGCCCCGGGGGCTTCAGGAGCAGGGCCGGTGCTTTAGACCAGAAACCCACACCCTCAGGACAGCTGCCTCCCGGCCGGGGGGCTCAGGGGCTGAGCGTCGACCTGTGAACCAGGAGGTCGCGGTTCGATGCCTGCTCAAGGCTCGACCCCCAGCATGAAGCGTGCAGGAGGCAGCCGGTCCGTGGTCCTCTCTCATCATCGATGTTTCCCTCCTCTCCCCTCCGCTCTGAGATCAATAGGAATGTACCTTTTTTAAAAGGAAAGAAAAGAGCCGCAGTGGGCCCACAGGGAACGCACAGCCCCTGCTTTGCCTCATAAAACAGGGTTTCCTCGGGCACAGACTGCTGCAGGGGGCAGCCCCCCAGGATGGGGAAGGCAGAGGCGGAGGAGGGCAGGGCAGCGACCGAGGCCCGGGGCACGCGTTTCCTTTACAAGAAAACAACAGCACTGAGGGGAGAGGGGGGAGCGAGCTCTGACTTCCAATGTGATTATTGGAAAATTACCCTCTTCGGGCCAGAAGGGGAGGAGCAGGAGGAGGAAAATAAGAAAACAGCGACTGAAGCCACGATGAGGTGATGTAAGCGGGAGGCCAGGCACCCACGGGCCTGAGCATTCCCCTGCAACGGGGACCCGAGCCGGCGCTGCCTCTGGCCAAGCAGGAGGCCAGGTACCCGCTGCCCCCCTCAGCCGTGACCCTGGCAGGTGCTCCCGGACCCCGCTCTACACCTAACGCCTGCTCCACACAGGGCAGGGCCTGCCTCCACCAGCTGGTGCAAGCACAGGCGGCCGGCCCTCCGGGCGCAGGATCTGACCTCGAACCCAGCTGTGCACACGCAAACACGTGACCGCTCCCACCAGCCACCGCGGGGATTTAGGCTTTGCCGACACGCATGCACTCACAGCAGAGTGGGGTTCGGTCACAGAAAGCGGGGTGCCTGGGCCCTGACCTCCCCGGGAATCTAGCGGGAGGGTCAAACCCGCCCCTGGGAATGGTCGGGGGATATGCTGCAGCAGAACGGGTGGACTTCAATCAACACACGCACATGCACATACACATGTGCACACTGCGTACACACATGCACGTTACACACATGCACACACATTCACACTGTATCTCCATGTTACAAAAATGGTTTCCGATCTGCCACCTGAGGGCGTGGGTCCCACCACTGTCGCCCACGGGGCTGCCGCTGGGCTGAGGGCACGCGGCACCAGCCCCGCCCTCCTCGCCTGCGGAGCCAGCCCTCCCGGACAACACGGATAACACGGGAAGAGCGCGGGTGCGAGGGGGGCCGGGGAGTCGGTGTGGCCGCTGACATTGGCTCATGTGCCTTGACCTGTGTGAGCTTGCTCTCCTCCTTTCCTGTCCCCGCTCCCCAAATCAGAGCTCACACCCGGACACCTGCCCTCAATCTCGTGGAGACAATCAAAATGCCCAGCCCCCTGGCTCAGTGGTTGAGCGTCCTCCTATGCCCCCGAGGTCACCAGTTCGATGCCCGATCAGGGCACATGCCCAAGGGGCAGGCTCGGTCTCCAGTCGGGGGCGTGCAGGAGGCAGCCGATGGGTGTTTCTCTCTCTCCTTCCTCTCTGAAATCAATGAAGATTCTTTTTGTTTAAAGATTTTACCCCGAGACCCCCCGTCGTGAAAGGGGCTGGTCCCGATTACAGAGCCTGCGTAAGGTGTTGGGGAGCTGCCACCCAGCCTGGGGGGAACCCAGCTCTGTCTGCCCGACCCTGACCATCCTGCTTCTCCTGCACCCCGGGGCCCATGAGCCTCCCTATGCTCACCTCCCGGGCCCGGGTTCACGCTGGGCAGTGCCCGGCGGGGGGGGCCCCGCGCCAGCACCTCAGGCTCCGTGCGGAGCAGATACTGCCCACGACGCACCCTTAACGCCGGAGGTCAGCACGTCTGCCCGCCAGTCTGCCCGCCCGTCTGCACACCTGTCTGCAACCTGTCCACCTGTCTGCCCGCCCATCTGCACACCCGTCTGCCCGCCCATCTGCATACCCGTCTGCCCGCCCATCTGCCTGCCCGTCTGCATACCCGTCTGCACACCCGTCTGCAACCTGTGTCCACCCGTCTGCCCGCCCATCTGCCCGCCCGTCTGCATACCCGTCTGCCTGCCCGTCTGCCTGCCCGTCTGCCCGCCCGTCTGCCCCGTCTGCATACCCGTCTGCCTGCCCGTCTGCCCGCCCATCTGCCTGCCCGTCTGCCCCCGTCTGCCCCCGTCTGCCCGCCCATCTGCCCACCCGTCTGCCCGCCCGTCTGCCCCCGTCTGCCTGGGAACCTTCTGGCTCGGGGCAGGCCGGCGGTCAGAAAGCCCAGCCGGGCGCTGACCGAGGTCGGCCGGGGAGGAGGACAAAGAGGGCGGAGGAGCCGGTGGAAGCTGGTGTTTACTAGGGGAGCCGGCGGTGGACGGGAGGCGCCCCGTCCCGGCACAGAGGGCTCAGAAGGCCTCCTTGGTGCTGTTGAACTTCTTGGGGGGCAGCCGGGGCGAGGAGGCCGAGGAGGCCGAGGGCGGCGAGGGCGGTGGGGCTCCGCAGCTGCACTCGGGGGCCTGGGGGCCGAGCGGCGGCGTCTGCGTACTTACGGGGATGGACCGGCTCAGGAAGCGGGCCGAGGAGGAGGACAGGCCGGTGCAGGAGGCCCGGGAGCCGGGCGCCGCGGGGCCGGGGCCCGGCTCCCCCGTCTTGGCGCTGGGGGGGCCCCGCGGGCTGCCGGGGGGGCTGCGGCCGTGCTGGTTGTTGTTGAGCTCGGGGTGGGCCCGGGGGGGCGCCGTGGAGCTGCCGTTGAGGTTGGCGAAGGGGCTGGCAGCGTAGCCCAACCTGCAGGGCGAGGCCCGCCGGCCGTCGGGGTCCTCAGAGGACACGCTCAGGTTCCCCAGCGAGCTGGCCAGCCGCGAGTTCACCGAGAAGCTGGGGGGACAGGAGCAGACCTGCTACCGGGCCGTCCCGAAAACACAGCGCAGCCGGGGCCCGTGCGGGGCCCGAGGGCAGATGGCGGCGTGTTGTACTGAGATCGGGTGCTGCTGGATGTGAGGTCAGGGTGCTATGGGTCCTGACTTTGGGGTGCTATTGGACGTGAGATGAGGGTGCTACTGGTTCTGAGGTTGGGGTGTCATAGGATTCCAGATCAGGGTGCTATGGGTCCTGAGATCAGGGTGCTATTGGACTCCAGATGAGGTGCTATCGGCCGTGAGATCGGGGTGCTATAGAGTGTGACATCGGGGTGCTATGGCTGCTGAGGAGGAAGTAAGTGAACTCTAAGCAGAGTGAGAAGCGTGAGCAGGAACTCATACGAGTTTGATCCACGGCGGAGACGTGACCGCCGGCGTGTCCTCAGACACACTCAGCGCCGCCTCCGGACCAGGCGGCTGCGGGCGGGCGCGCACGCCATGCCCTCTGTCCGCGCCCGTCCCCACAGCGCAGGACAGGGCCAGCCGGAGGGCAGAGCCTGCGGGGTTTCTCCTCTCCCAACCCCTCTCCCCCGGCCAGGGGCAGCCGAACGCCTGCTGCGGCCAGCACCCAGCACCCAGCACCCAGCACCCAGCACCCAGCACCCAGCACCCAGAGGGGAGTCACCTTCTCAGACTGGCGCCCGAGGCCAGGGAGCCCCTGGCGATGCGCTTGGCGGTGGCGGACGGGGGGGAGGCCACTTTGCAGATCTTCAGCGTGGACGCGGAGCCTTGTGCGGAGGCGGCCAGTCTGGGGAGGGAGGAGGCGGAGCGTCCGCGGACATCAGCTCGGCCACGGGCGGTCAGCGCGAGAGGCTCAGATCCGGGCGTGGGCGCGCCGGGCGCTCTGGGGCCTCGCGCTCAGCCCCCCCTGCGAGGGGCTGTGCTGGGCTCCAGCCGGGACCCCACGCCCTGCTCTTCTCCTCCCGCCGTCCTGGGTCCCCTCCCCTCCCCGCCATGTGGCCCACGGGTCCTGGCACGGCTCACCCGTCCTCTCCTCCCAGGCCCCGGCCTGGCGAGGCCTCGGCTGTGCCTTCTCCCACCTGCCAGCCCCGTCTCGGCCTCTGACCCCCAAGACTGTGGCGGCAAACCCGTTAGTCCACAGCCCAATGGCCTGGCAGGACCCGAGAGCACTCAGGGGACTTTTCCCCAGAAAAACAGGAACGTGTCCTCTCCGCGTGGAGGGCGGAGGAGGAAAAACAGCGAGAAAACACGAGCAAAAACCGGGAGGGGGAGAGCGGAACGGCTATCTCTTCGCAGAAGGTCCGGCGCCGGGCCAAAGGGCCGGGGCAGCCCATGGCCGGTCAGACCCCGTCTGGGGCACCGGTGCCTGTCCCAGCCTCCGGCCCCGTGGCCGCCCAGGAAGGAGGGGCGGAGGCAGTGAAGCGCCGTGAGCAGCTCATCCTCGCCCACTGGCGGGGGTGGGGAACGTCCGGCCCGCGGGCCGTGTGAGGCCCAGAAACCCCGTGGCCCGGCCCGGCCCAGCACTGGGCCCAGTTAAACGTCCGGCCGACCCCACAGCAGGTTCTTAAGCGGATACGGCTGTGTGGCCCCGAGTGACGTTACAGATACCCCCGGGCCAGGCCCGGGGCGCGGTCAGAGGCGGGAGATGGAGGGGGAGCTCGGGGCCCGGGGCTCCGGCCGCCGTACCTGACAGGCTGGGACACCACTGCCCGCGGGGGCCCCTTCAGGTCCTCCAACCTACAAAGAGCAGAGACAGGTGCTCAGGGCCCCGCCCAGCCGGGGCCGAGGCATCAAACGGGCCACGGGGAGGCCTGGGGACCGGGCACCAGTCCCTTCACCGGACAGACCGCCCCGAGCTGGCAGGAAGGGACTGCGGTCTCTCTGTTTCATTCTGAATCCCACTTGGAGGAATAAAAAAAAAATTTAAAAAAAACGTTTTTGTTTGCCCTGGTTTCATTTGCTTTGTTAATCCTCACCCATAGATATTTTTCAACTGAATTTAAATGGAGAGGGAGGGAAGGAGAGAGGGAGGGAGGGAAACATCAAAGTGAGAGCAACACCATCGATGGGTTGCCTCCCGCAGGTGCCTGGCCGGGGTGGATCCTGCGACCCAGGTGCATGCCCACGACTGGGAACCGAACCCAAGGCCCTTCAGTGCCCAGTAACCCCTGAACACACTGGCCAGGGTGCAGCCAGTCCATGATTCTCTCATCGTTGATGTCTCTCTCTCTCTCTCTCCCTGCCCCTCTGACATCAATAAAAATCGATTTAAAGAAAAGGGGGGGAGGGGGGAGGGTCCTGTCCGCCTGTGGAGCACACGAGGGCTCCAGGGTCCGGTCTCACCGGAAGGCGCAGGGCGGCGAGGAGCGCGGCTGGCGCTGGCTCTTTAAGGCACGTAGTTTGTCTCCCTGGGTGATGCTGTTCTTCATCTCCACGTCCTCATCCTCTTCCGGGTTATTCTGGGGGAAGGGCATAAAGGTCACGGTGAGGCGCTGGCGCTGGCAGACGGCTCCCTGGGCGGCAGGTCACCCCTGCGTGCAGGGCATTTCACACAGGTGAGCGTGCACCGTCCTGTGAACTCAGCCCTGCGCGTGTGCATGGAGAGTGTGCAGTACAGCACAGGGCACAGTCAATGGCATGTGACAGGGCAGTGCGTGCCCCAAATCTGTGCGCTTTTACTAGCAAGGCTCTGCGCGTGGCACCCGGTCTTGCTTTGGGAGAGGAGGACTCCGCGCCTGAGACCCTGGTCCCCCGGCCGCTCGGAGGAGGAAGAAGCCACACGTGCAGGAGGAGACTCACCTCTCCGAACCGCTCCAGGTTCTGGGTTTTGGATACGTTTCCATGGATGGACAGGTCATCCAAGCTCGAAAGGATTTTATTAATACTCTCCTCGCTGGACGGTCTGCTTTTCAACTTGGATCGAAAGATGTCTCCTTGGACCCATAGCGACGCTTGCTTTCTGTGGAGAGGAGAGGAGAGGAGAGCACCCCGTCATCTCAGAAGTGGGACGTCGTGTCAGTAAAGAGACGGCAGACACACATTTACGAAGCAGGGCGGAGCGATGGCGAAGTCTCAGGGTAAAGAAAATAGAACTTCCTGAAGCCACGGCAGTGAAACCCTGCACAGAACACAAACGGCCGGCTTCTGCCCCGGGTCCCGGTCGCCACGGGGTGGACTGCTAAGGTCCTCAGATGCTCAGGACAGATGCCACCGCAGAACTGTGAACCTCCTGTTGTTGTTTTTTTTTTTTAAATATATTTCAACTTATTTCAGAGAGGCAGGGAGAGGCAGGGAGAGAGAAACATCCATGATGAGGGAGAATCGTGAATCAACTGCCGCCTGCACGCCCCCCTCTGGGCATCGAACCGTGACCTCCTGGTTCCTAGGCCCACGCTCAGCCCCTGAGCCACCCGGCCGGGCTGACGTCTGCTTTCTGAATCCCCCTGTGCTTGGTGGGGCCAGCTGCCTTGTCTCGGCTTTGAATTGCGAACGCGTAGTTAGCTCGCTGCGGGCTGCTTCTGTCCGGAGCTGGCCTCCCTCCGCATTCCTGCTGAGGCCTGCCCGCTGCATCCCTGTGACCTCGTCACCCCGAGACCTCGTCACCCTTCCCGCCCGGATGCGCCCTCCCAGCGCCACCCGCCTTCCCCGTGTCCACCCAAAACCACAGGGGTCGTGGCGCCTGTCCTCGGCCATCGGCCCCGGGCGGCCGCGGGGACAGGGGACGCTCCTGGGCTCCAGCATCGGGTGAATGGACCCTCTCGCTGGGCGTCCGAGGCCCGGGCAGCACACGGCGCCCACGGCCGGGAGACGGAGCAGACGGCCACGCGGGGAGAACTGCCCGCGCTGGGTGCTGCGGACGCTCCATCGGCAGGTGTTCGGAAAGGGTGCGGAGGGGGCACACCAAGAACAGGTAGCTGGGCCCTGGCCGCTGTGGCTCAGTGGAGAGAGCGCCGGCCTGCGGACTGAAGGGTCCCAGGTTTGGTTTCGGTCATGTACGTTGGTTGCAGGCACATCCCTAGCAGGGGGCGTGCAGGAGGCAGCTGATCAATGTTTCTAATCATTAATGTTTCTCTCTCTCTCACCCTTCCTCTCTGAAATCAATAAAAATATATAAAAGGAAAAGAAATTCTGCCCTAACTGGCTTGGCTCGCTGGTCCATGTTTCTCTCCCATCGATGTTTCCAGCTCTCTATCCCTCTTCCTTCCTCTCTGTAAAAAAATCAATGAAACTTTTTTTTTTGAATTTTTTTTAAAGCACATGTAGCTGGAAAAGGAAGGGATGATTTAGGACATCCCCCCGAAGAGTCATCTGGCTGCACCTCATCTCGGGGTAGCACCCCCCCGACCCCGGCCCTCCGGCCCTGCTCTCACCCCAAACACCCACTTCACCCCGAAACCAGGATCGCTATTTCGCCTCTAACCCCTTCCACACAGGGAACAAAACAAAAACCGTCCCGCGTCCCACAGTAACCGGCGTGAGACTTTAAGATCAATTCCTGATGCCACCATTGCCGAGAATTCTCCTCAGACCCGACCCGTGTTCCTGCTCCGCCGAGGGCTTCCGGACGGTGTGAGTGAACACCGAAAATCAAGGAGCCTTCCTGCAAACGGTGCCTGTCGCACCAGCTCCGTTTCAGACCGCGCGTGTGCCTGTGATTCTAACGGACACACAGACTGTCGAGCGTTATCCTAATCAGCCTCTAAGGGCTCAGGTCCTACTTGTTGCTATTTTAGGAACAGCAAGTTCTAGAACCTTTAACACAGATCATTTTAAAAACTTGGAACCCACTTTCCTTGGCCCAATGCCCGTGCCCCCCCCCCCCTCTCTCTCTCCCTCTCTCCCTCTCTCCCCCCCTCTCTCTCTCTTTCTCTCTCTCTCTCTCCCTCCCTCCCTCCCTCCCTCCCTCTCCCTCTCTCCTCTCTCTCTCTCTCTCTCTCTCTCTCTCTCTCTCGCACACGCACACTGAGCGTGCACAGCAGGAGTCCATCACGGTTAGGAGCTCCAGCTCCGGCGTGGACGGCTCCCACATTGTTCCCGTCGCTGTGCCTGCCGTTCCCTGAGATAAACAGCGCTGGCTGACCCGTCACTCCCATGTCACTCCGCTCTGGGTGACGTTCACCAGATGCTGCCAGCACCGCGCCGAGCAGGGCGGCCAGTGCGGAGACGCGGGAGCCCAGACTGACCACACACGGTCTGCGCGTCTGTGCAGAAGCCGGAGCCCCACGCCTGCCGATGGGCGCCCACTGGGTGCCCGCCCAGCCCTCTGCAGGGCATGCCGCGGCTCCCTGGCCCTCTCCCGGCGGATGGCCAGCAGACGGCCAGCAGACGGCCAGCAGGCCGACGGGCAGGCGGACGCCAGGCCTCTCTGCACGGACGACACTCGCCACTGAGCCCCACCGGCCAGGGTGCCTCGTCCCGCTCATGGCAGACGGCTGGTGGTTTCTGAAATGCTGAGGGGACGCCAGGAAGGGCGTGCCCGGCAGGTTAACTCTCTTCCTGGGGACCGGGGTTTGGCCGGAGCCAGTGCGTGCGTCTGGGCAGGAGGGGGCGCTATGACTGTTCTTCTGAGTGCGGCCCTCGGGCCTGGGAACGCTCAGACCAGCCACACGGCAGCCACCTCCTGTCCGTGAGCGGCACCTCACAGAGGCCCCCCGCCCCGCTGTGTGTGTGCACTGTGTATGTGTGTGTGTGCTCTGTGTGTGTGCGTGTGTGCTCTGTGTATGTGTGTGTGCTCTGTGCGTGTGCGTGTGTGCTGTGTGTATGTGTGTGTGCTCTGTGTGTGTGCGTGTGTGCTCTGTGTGTGTGCTCTGTGTGTGTGCGTGTGTGCGCACTTGCTGTGTGCGTGTGTGCTCTGTGTATGTGTGTGTGTGCTCTGTGTGTGTGCGTGTGTGCGCACGTGCTGTGTGCATGTGCTCTGTGTGTGCGTGTGTGCTGTGTGTGTGTGCACTGTGTATGTGTGTGCTCTGTGTGTGCGCGTGTGTGTGTGCGCGTGTGTGCTCTGTGTGTGCGCGTGTGTGCGCACGTGCTGTGTGCGTGTGGGCTGTGTGTATATGTGTGTGCTCTGTGTGTGTGCGTGTGTGCTCTGTGTGTGTGCGTGTGTGCTCTGTGCGTGTGTGCGCACGTGCTGTGTGCATGTGGGCTGTGTGTGTGTATGTGTTTTCCCGTTCTGCTCACAGACATGCGAACACAAGGAAAGAAGGAAAGCCATGCGCCAGGTGGGATGACAAACTCACACGGTGGCCGGGCCACCCAGGAAGCGACAGGGAGCTGGCAGGCGGCCGCGCCGTGCCCTCGCCGGGCCCCGGGGGCCGGCTCCCTCCGGCTGCAGCACTCGTCCCCAGCTGCCCGGCTGCCGCATCGGGGGAAGAGGCAGGGGCCGGGGGGACCCGCCCGTGGGGACACAGACTTACTCCTCCAGGAAGTGCTGCTGGGGCCCGATGATGGAGCCGGGCCGGCATATTCGGATCCAGGAGATGACCTCGGCGTGCGTGAACCGGTAGTGCTTCATGACGTAGCAGCCGATCAGCGTCCCCGTCCTGCCCAGCCCGGCTGCAAGAGAGGGACAGAGCCGATGCCAACCGCCCGGCACCTGCCCGGCGCTGCCCGTTCAAACTGCTACCGACCGTTCCACAGACAAGGAGGGCGCGTGGGGGCGGCCTGGGGCATCTGGAGCAGGGCCACCTCCTGACACCGAGGACCCGCCCGGCACCGACACGCTGGCCAGAGGGGCGTGTAGCCACGTCCTCAGACGTGAGCACCGGGAGACATCGGTCCTGGCCTCTCAGAGCTCTGACGGGGCCGCAGGTCGTGTGGACAGAGCACGGCCCGGTGGCCAGAGCAGGGCCAGCGCCCGGTCCGCGTCCAGAGCCCGTCTGTGGCCTCTGGGGGGACACGAGGGCCCCGCCCTCTCCCTGGGAGCGGAGTCTCCACCACACACAGCCCCCGAGAAAAAGGTGCAGAGAGTGTTCGGATCTCCGAGACTTCAAACAGCTGTAATTAACCTATAAAAAGAGCATCCTCTGTGCTCTTCCCAGGAGGAGCGCTCCGCTCGGTTCTAAGGAACCTGGGGGGGGGGGGGGCACGCCTGGCCGAGGAGGGCCGGCGCGCGGGGCGAGCAGCCGGACGCGGTCTGTCCACCGCCCGCCGCCACCCCCTCACGGGCCCCTCACAGAACAAGCACGTCAAACTCACGGCCCCCGGGCCAGGGCCTGGCTCACTTGGCCCGTGTCAGCCTTGGCGTGGGACACGCTGGCTCCAGAGCCTCAGCGATCGCAGGCCAGGACTGCGTGCCCGGCCCTTGTCCCAACCACTGTCTGTGCTGGAAGATTCCACCAGCCCCTCGCCCTCTCGGGGTCACCCAGAAGGCGAACAGGAACGCTGAGCGGTCCTAACAGGCCGCACCTTCCAGCACACGGGCTCCGGCCTGTCCACCGGGCGGGAGCCGGCTCCTGCCCGGGCATCGGGGTGTTTGTAACGTCATTCTCAGGCCACACGACAGCCCGCTCCGCTCGGTCAGACGGTTCCCTGACTCCTGCCTGGCCCTGCCCAGCGCCTTCGGGGGCCTCCCCGCCCGCCGGCCGGCCGGCCCCCACCCCGCCCGGGGCAGCCTGCAGCGGGAGGCGGGGCACGGCGTGCTCTCCCGGCGGCCGTGGCGTCGGTGGGACATGGAAGTCATGCTCCCACCGCCTCCTCGCTGTTCAGTTAAAACGCTCGAGGCGGCTCGGTTCCCAGAACGCCGAGCTGACTTAATTAGGGCGGATGTCAAAATAATTAACGGGCCACGGCAGACAATGCCGGGGGAGAGGAGCAGGGGCGGTGATTGCTCCGAGGGCGTGATCCCGGGAAAGGCTCCACGCGTGTGCACACGTGGCGGCAAGGGGAAGGCTGAGGCGGCTGTCATCACTGGCAGCGGCCGCCCCACGCAGACCGGCCTCCCCCGCAGACCGGCCTCCCCCCGCAGACCGGCCTCCCCCCCCCACCCCCCGCAGACCGGCCTCCCCCCGCAGACCGGCCTCCCCCACACCCCCCGCAGACCGGCCTCCCCCCGCAGACCGGCCTCCCCCACACCCCCCGCAGACCGGCCTCCCCCGCAGACCGGCCTCCCCCCCCACCCCCCGCAGACCGGCCTCCCCCCGCAGACCGGCCTCCCCCCGCAGACCGGCCTCCCCCGCAGACCGGCCTCCCCCCGCAGACCGGCCTCCCCCCGCAGACCGGCCTCCCCGCCTCCCCCAGCAGACCGGGCTCCCCCCGCAGACCGGCCTCCCCCCGCAGACCGGCCTCCCCCTGCAGACCGGCCTCCCCGCCTCCCCCAGCAGACCGGGCTCCCCCCGCAGACTGGCCGCCCCCTGCAGACCGGGCCTCCCCAGCACAGACCGGCCTCCCCCAGCAGACCGGCCTCCCCAGCACAGACTGGGCTCCCAGCACAGACCGGCCTCCCCCGGCAGACAGGGCTCCCCAGTGGGGGGGGTGCAGGAGGCAGCTGATCAATGTTTCTCTCTCATCGATGTTTCTAACTCTCCCTCTCCCTTCCTCTCTGTAAAATAATCAATAAAAAATATTTAAAAAATAAAAAGTGCCCGGCCAGCCTACAGACGCTGCCACACCACCCCCAGCACCGCCATCTGAGCCACGCTGCTCCCCGGAGGGGCTGTGCCAGCAGGCCGCGCCCCCTGTGCTCAGACGTAGCTCAGACATGGCGGCCGCGGGCCGGGGATGCGGGGGTCAGTGTGTGGGCCGCGGGCGGGCCCGGGGCCCGGGGTGCGGGGTGCGGGGTGTGGGGGTCAGTGTGCGGGCCGCGGGCGGGCCCGGGGTGCGGGGTGCGGGGTGTGGGGGTCAGTGTGCGGGCCGCGGGCGGGCCCGGGGCGCGGGGTGTGGGCCCGGGGTGCGGGGTGCGGGGTGTGGGCCGCGGGCGGGCCCGGGGTGCGGGGTGCGGGGTGTGGGGGTCAGTGTGCGGGCCGTGGGCGGGCCCGGGGCCCGGGGCGCGGGGTGCGGGGTGTGGGGGTCAGTGTGCGGGCCGCGGGCGGGCCCGGGGCGCGGGGTGTGGGCCCGGGGTGCGGGGTTCAGTGTGCGGGCCGCGGGCGGGCCCGGGGCGCGGGGTGCGGGGTGTGGGGGTCAGTGTGCGGGCCGCGGGCGGGCCCGGGGCGCGGGGTGTGGGCCCGGGGTGCGGGGTTCAGTGTGCGGGCCGCGGGCGGGCCCGGGGCGCGGGGTGCGGGGTGTGGGGTTCAGTGTGCGGGCCGCGGGCGGGCCCGGGGTGCAGGGTGCGGGGTGTGGGGGTCAGTGTGCGGGCCGCGGGCGGGCCCGGGGTGCGGGGTGCGGGGTGTGGGGGTCAGTGTGCAGGCCGCGGGCGGGCCCAGGGCGCGGGGCCCGGGGTGCGGGGGTCAGTGTGCGGGCCGCGGGCGGGCAGGGGCAGCGCACCTTTGCAGTGCACGGCGATGGCGCCCTCGGTGCTCTCGCAGATGCTCAGGAAGCGGCGCAGGATGCTGTCGCTGGGCGTGCTGCCGTCGGTGAAGAACAGGTCGTAGTGCTCGAAGCCGGCGTCGGTGAAGCGCCGGGCCTCGTAGATCTTCTTGTTCAGCCTCACCACGGCCGTCACGTTGTGCTTCTTGAAGTAGGGGAAGTAGGCCTCCGGGGCGTGGAGGGGGTACCCTGGGGGAGCGGGCTGTCAGCAGGGCGGGGAGGACACCCTCCCGGGTTCTCCCGGCCCCCGCTCCCCGGGCGGGGACTCCCCACAGCATTCCCGCCAGCCGCCTGGGCTCCTGTGTCCGAGGTGGGCCTCCCGCCTGCTCCCTCCCCCGCCCGGAGCCCAGGTCACCCCCCCGGGGGGGGGCAGGCAGGGCTGAGAGGCCGACACACAACTTCCACTCCGGAGCGAAGAGGGGAGAGAGTGTACTTTCCGTCTCCCTGGGGGAGGGACGGACACGGGCGCCGAGAGCCACCCTCCCCACCGGGGGCGTCACTGGGCTCCGGGCCGGGTCACCGTTCTCCCGACAACGGGGCACGGGGCCCGGACAGCGATGGGGGCGCGGAGTCCTGCCGACGATGGGGATCGCAGCTCGGGGCGCCGAGCACTCTGCACCAGGCACTCAGCGACCTGCCTCACTGACCCCGGGGGCCGGCCGGCTGGGGCCCCGGGGGGCCCTGCCCTGCCCTGCACACGCGGGCAGAGAGCGGGCAGAGGGCGGCAGAGGCTGCGCCCTGGAGCCAGGCTCCGGGCTGCGCGGGGGCTGGTTTCGGGTCAGAACCAGCCCGAGGCTAATGGTTGGGCCTCCACTTCCTAGAGTTGGTGAGGAGGTTTCTTAGATCCCCAGTGTTCCCAGCGAGTCATAACCAAAGCCAGGGCACGGTCCTAGGACTGGGGGGGTGCTGTTTGGGGTGCTGTCAGTGCGCCAGGCCTGGGCTGCCCTTCTCCGGCCGGCCGCCAGGTGGCGCGCTGGCACCGGTGAAGCACAGGCAGGCCCTGGTGCTCCCCGGACCAGGCAGCACTTGAGGGCGGGCGGAGAGAGATTTGAAAATGCATCTCTTCCCTCCTCGAAAGTCAGGAACCTGAAGACAGCAGGGTCGGGTGACGAGGCCCCCCAGGCATTATTAAAAGTAAAAAAGCTGCAAAATGGGCAAATGAAGTCAATAGTAGGCTCATTCGTGATACACATGGAACCTGCATCTCTGCTCCTAATAAGCACCTGTCGTGTGCGGAGCACAGGCCACAGTCTCTAACCCTCACTGCGCGCCTGCAGTGCGCCTGCTCCCCCTTCAGTGCAGGGGACCTGCTCCGGGGTGAGGAGGAGGGGGACCCACTCAGTGAGGAGGAGGGGGACCCGCTCAGTGAGGAGGAGGGGGACCGGCTCAGTGAGGAGGAGGGGGACCGGCTCAGTGAGGAGGAGGGGGACCCACTCAGTGAGGAGGAGGGGGACCCGCTCAGTGAGGAGGAGGGGGACCCGCTCAGTGAGGAGGAGGGGGACCCGCTCAGTGAGGAGGAGGGGGACCGGCTCAGTGAGGAGGAGGGGACCGGCTCCGGGGTGAGGAGGAGGGGGACCGGCTCAGTGAGGAGGAGGGGGACCGGCTCAGTGAGGAGGAGGGGGACCCGCTCAGTGAGGAGGAGGGGGACCGGCTCAGTGAGGAGGAGGGGGACCGGCTCAGTGAGGAGGAGGGGGACCCCCTCAGTGAGGAGGAGGGGGACCCACTCAGTGAGGAGGAGGGGGACCGGCTCAGTGAGGAGGAGGGGGACCCCCTCAGTGAGGAGGAGGGGGACCGGCTCAGTGAGGAGGAGGGGGACCGGCTCAGTGAGGAGGAGGGGGACCGGCTCAGTGAGGAGGAGGGGGACCCGCTCAGTGAGGAGGAGGGGGACCCACTCAGTGAGGAGGAGGGGGGCCGGCTCAGGGAGGAGGAGGGGGACCCCCTCAGTGAGGAGGAGGGGGACCCGCTCAGTGAGGAGGAGGGGGACCCCCTCAGTGAGGAGGAGGGGGACCCACTCAGTGAGGAGGAGGGGGACCGGCTCAGTGAGGAGGAGGGGGACCCGCTCCGGGGGGAGGAGGAGGGGGACCGGCTCAGTGAGGAGGAGGGGGACCGGCTCAGTGAGGAGGAGGGGGACTGGCTCAGTGAGGAGGAGGGGGACCGGCTCAGTGAGGAGGAGGGGGACCGGCTCAGTGAGGAGGAGGGGGACCGGCTCAGTGAGGAGGAGGGGGACCGGCTCCAGGGGGAGGAAGAGGGGGACCGGCTCAGTGAGGAGGAGGGGGACCGGCTCCAGGGGGAGGAGGAGGGGGACCGGCTCAGTGAGGAGGAGGGGGACCGGCTCAGTGAGGAGGAGGGGGACCGGCTCCAGGGGGAGGAAGAGGGGGACCGGCTCAGTGAGGAGGAGGGGGACCGGCTCCGGGGTGAGGAGGAGGGGGACCCGCTCAGTGAGGAGGAGGGGGGACCGGCTCAGTGAGGAGGAGGGGGACCGGCTCAGTGAGGAGGAGGGGGACCGGCTCAGTGAGGAGGAGGGGGACCCGATCAGTGAGGAGGAGGGGGACCGGCTCAGTGAGGAGGAGGGGGACCGGCTCCGGGGTGAGGAGGAGGGAGACCCGCTCAGTGAGGAGGAGGGGGACCGGCTCAGTGAGGAGGAGGGGGACCGGCTCCGGGGTGAGGAGGAGGGGGACCGGCTCAGTGAGGAGGAGGGGGACCGGCTCAGTGAGGAGGAGGGAGACCCGCTCAGTGAGGAGGAGGGGGACCGGCTCAGTGAGGAGGAGGGGGACCCCCTCAGTGAGGAGGAGGGGGACCGGGTCAGTGAGGAGGAGGGGGACCCCCTCAGTGAGGAGGAGGGGGACCGGCTCAGTGAGGAGGAGGGGGACCGGCTCAGTGAGGAGGAGGGGGACCCCCTCAGTGAGGAGGAGGGGGACCCACTCAGTGAGGAGGAGGGGGACCCACTCAGTGAGGAGGAGGGGGACCGGCTCAGTGAGGAGGAGGGGGACCGGCTCTGGGGTGAGGAGGAGGGGGACCGGCTCAGTGAGGAGGAGGGGGACCGGCTCAGTGAGGAGGAGGGAGACCCGCTCAGTGAGGAGGAGGGGGACCGGCTCAGTGAGGAGGAGGGGGACCGGCTCAGTGAGGAGGAGGGGGACCCCCTCAGTGAGGAGGAGGGGGACCCACTCAGTGAGGAGGAGGGGGACCGGCTCAGTGAGGAGGAGGGGGACCCCCTCAGTGAGGAGGAGGGGGACCGGCTCAGTGAGGAGGAGGGGGACCGGCTCAGTGAGGAGGAGGGGGACCGGCTCAGTGAGGAGGAGGAGGACCCCCTCAGTGAGGAGGAGGGGGACCCACTCAGTGAGGAGGAGGGGGACCGGCTCAGTGAGGAGGAGGGGGACCCCCTCAGTGAGGAGGAGGGGGACCCGCTCAGTGAGGAGGAGAGGGACCGGCTCCGGGGTGAGGAGGAGGGGGACCCGCTCAGTGAGGAGGAGGGGGACCCGCTCAGTGAGGAGGAGGGGGACCGGCTCAGTGAGGAGGAGGGGGACCGGCTCAGTGAGGAGGAGGGGGACCGGCTCAGTGAGGAGGAGGGGGACCGGCTCAGTGAGGAGGAGGGGGACCGGCTCAGTGAGGAGGAGGGGGACCCCCTCAGTGAGGAGGAGGGGGACCCCCTCAGTGAGGAGGAGGGGGACCCACTCAGTGAGGAGGAGGGGGACCCACTCAGTGAGGAGGAGGGGGACCGGCTCAGTGAGGAGGAGGGGGACCGGCTCCGGGGTGAGGAGGAGAGGGACCGGCTCAGTGAGGAGGAGGGGGACCCGCTCAGTGAGGAGGAGGGGGACCGGCTCAGTGAGGAGGAGGGGGACCCGCTCAGTGAGGAGGAGGGGGACCGGCTCAGTGAGGAGGAGGGGGACCGGCTCAGTGAGGAGGAGGGGGACCGGCTCAGTGAGGAGGAGGGGGACCCGCTCAGTGAGGAGGAGGGGGACCCGCTCCGGGGTGAGGAGGAGGGGGACCGGCTCAGTGAGGAGGAGGGGGACCCGCTCAGTGAGGAGGAGGGGGACCGGCTCAGTGAGGAGGAGGGGGACCCGCTCCGGGGTGAGGAGGAGGGGGACCGGCTCAGTGAGGAGGAGGGGGACCGGCTCAGTGAGGAGGAGGGGGACCGGCTCAGTGAGGAGGAGGGGGACCGGCTCAGTGAGGAGGAGGGGGACCGGGTCAGTGAGGAGGAGGGGGACCGGCTCCGGGGTGAGGAGGAGGGGGACCGGCTCAGTGAGGAGGAGGGGGACCCGCTCAGTGAGGAGGAGGGGGACCCGCTCCGGGGGGAGGAGCTCACACACCCCACGGGGTGCACCCACCCCATCTGCCGGCCCCCGCACCCGCTCTCTCCTTAAAGGGGCAGCTGACTCCGGAGAGCGGGACTCCCTGCCTCCGCTGTCTCTCTCTCTCTGCTTTCGTTCTTTTTAAAACACACGCTGGCGCCAAAGGAAAACCCACCATTTTCAATCTTGCTTTTGGGGTGTGGTCCACTGAATGCCAAGAACTTCCCGGGGACGATCCAGTTGAAGTCCCCGTTCTCCACGCGCTGGCAGGGTTTTGTGAGGGAAAGAGAAAAAGGAAAATGACGCACCCCAGGCCCCCGTCCCGCTTGGTTTTTAAAAGAACCCCGATTTTCAGATAAACGGAACCGACAATGGCGCTGCCAAACGGCGACCGTTTTTCTCAGGACGGGGCCACGTGATGATGGACGAGCGCAGAGATCGGCCTTTCCCGAGACTGCAGCGGCGAGGGGACCCTGGCCACCGGGACCCCGGACGCCGTCCCCCGCCGGCCGCCCGCGGGCCCTGTTCACCCCCCACCCGCCCCCACCCCGCCATCACCGCCCGAACCCGGACGCCGTCCCCCGCCGGCCGCCCGCGGGCCCTGTCACCCCCCCACCCGCCCCCACCCCGCCATCACGGCCCGAACCCGGGGCCCACCTCATAGTGCTCATACTCGTCCACGTCGAACGTCTCGAAGTCGAAGAATCCGTGTTGCAATCCCTGGGAGCAGAAGGGAGTCAGTTTCCCATTGAGCTGGGGCGGCACCTGCCAGCCCGGGTGCCCTCGCCACCCGCCCCGCGCCCACGCCCCCCGCGCCCACGCCGCCCGGTGCCCACGCCCTCAGAGCCCACGCCGCCCGGTGCCCACGCCCCCCGTGCCCACGCCCCCCGTGCCCACGCCCCCGTGCCCACGCCCCGGTGCCCACGCTCCCCGCGCCCACGCCCCCGTGCCCACGCCGCCCGGTGCCCACGCCGCCCGGTGCCCACGCCCCCGTGCCCACGCCGCCCGGTGCCCACGCCCCCGTGCCCACGCCGCCCGGTGCCCATGCAGAAAGGACCGTGTGGCTGGCCGCAGAGCGCGTACCTTTCTGATTCCCTGCAGGCAGTCGAGGATGGTGAGGTTGTACGTGCAGTTTCCGAAGGAAGCGTCCCTGTGGACACGGACAAGCCGGTGAGCCCGAGCCCACGTCCGTCTGTGCCGAGAGCCCAGCCCCCGGGCCCGGGTGGCGGGTCCCAGCGGCCGGCGTGGTCAGCGCGAGGGGCCCACCGGGTGCGACTCCTGGGGGCCTCACTCCACGGCCGCACCCCAGGGGGCGGGGGGCCCAGCCCGAGGCTCCGGGTCGGACTCAAACCCCAGCCCTGCTGGGCCTGGGCCGGGGACGCCGCCCCGTCGCCTCCGAGTCCCGCTGAGACGCAGGCCGGGAGCAGCAGCCGCGCCCGCAGGACCGGGACGCGGTGGGTGACAGAGCCCGAAGCCCTCCCCGGGGCGGGCGCACGGAGGCATCGCGGTGCCGTCACTGCTGCCGCGTCACTGACAGCCGCACAGGACTGGGCTGTTGTTTCTATAACATTGTTACTGATGTCAGAGGGGAAGGGAGGGAGGGAAACATCAGTGATGAGAGTGTCGTGGACCGGCTGCCTCCTGCACACCCCCACTGCGGATCAAGCCCACAACCGGGGCCTGTGCCCTGACTGGGAATCGAACCCTGACCTCCCGGCTCATAGTTCGACGCTCAGCCCCTGAGCCAGCCAGGCGGGCTGCACTTTTTGTGAAGAAAGACACTGACCGTGGAGAGAGGGGCGAGCACCGAGGGAGGCAGGAGGTGGGGGGGAGGGAGCTGGGGAGGGAGCAGCTATTTTCCCGGGTGGAATGCCAGTCCCCCTCCCCCAGGCCGACCCCCCAAAACCATGGGAAACGGCGGCCAGGCCTCTGAGGGGCGTCCTCTCGGGAGGGGACAGGCCGCACGGAACACCGCACGCTTCATCCTTTATTTACGTTCCGGGGCCCGAGCAGGCTGCTCGCTCTCCGCAACCCAAGACGCCAGCTCAGGTTCGGCCGGAGCAGGAGCTGGCCCCGCCCGCGGGCTCCCAGGTCCGGGGGCACCCGACCCCGAGGCCCGTCCCCGCCAGCCCCCCGCCCGGCCCCCGCTGACCGCGGACCGGCTCCAGCCAGCCAGCCCCCCGCTGACCGCAGACCGGCCCCGCCCGGCCCCCCGCTGACCGCGGACCGGCCCCGCCCGGCCCCTGCTGACCGCGGACCGGCTCCAACCAGCCAGCCCCCGCTGACCGCGGACCGGCCCCGCCCGGCCCCCGCTGACCGCGGACCGGCTCCAGCCAGCCAGCCCCCAGCTGACCGCGGACCGGCCCCGCCCGGCCCCCTGCTGACCGCGGACCGGCCCCGCCCGGCCCCCGCTGACCGCGGACCGGCTCCAGCCGGCCAGCCCCCCGCTGACCGCGGACCGGCTCCAGCCAGCCAGCCCCCGCTGACCGCGGACCGGCCCCGCCCGGCCCCCACTGACCGCGGACCGGCTCCAGCCAGCCAGCCCCCTCTGACCGCGGACCGGCCCCGCCCGGCCCCCGCTGACCGCGGACCGGCCCTGCCCGGCCCCCGCTGACCGCGGACCGGCTCCGGCAGGAGGCAGCCCATCCATGATTCTCCCTCATCACTGGTGCTTCTGGCTCTCCCTCTCCCTTCCTCTCTGAGATCAATACACATATTTTTTTTAAGTTAAACACACAGATCTATTGTGTGATGGCGGCTCCCGTCTGCTTTGCGTGAGAAGGAAGGGGAGGCAGCCTGTGCCCCGTGCTGAGCAGCTGACTGGGCCCTGCAGGCTCTGACCTGCCCGGCACAGTCACTGCTGCGGCCACGGGGAGACTCGCTCAGCAACAGAGAGGTCACGGGGTCACCCACCACGACACTCCCTCCCAACGCACACAGGCCCCCCCAGGCGCGGCGGGGGCCTTGCTGGTGAATGCACCGCCTGTTTGCATTGGGAGGGAGTGTTGTGGGGTCGTCTCCTGGAGACCAAATCTGCTGTCCCCCCACGGACATGAGCCGTCTGCTGCCAGGCTCCGGGGGGCTGGACACACACACACACACACACACACCAGGCTCCGGGGGGCTGGACACACACACACACACATACACACACACACACACACCAGGCTCTGGGGGGCTGGACACACACACACACACACACACACCAGGCTCCGGGGGGCTGGACACACACACACACACACATACACACACACACACACCAGGCTCTGGGGGGCTGGACACACACACACACACATACACACACACACACACCAGGCTCTGGGGGGCTGGACACACACACACACACACACACACACCAGGCTCCGGGGGGCTGGACACACACACACACACATACACACACACACACACCAGGCTCTGGGGGGCTGGACACACACACACACACATACACACACACACACACCAGGCTCTGGGGGGCTGGACACACACACACACACACACCAGGCTCCGGGGGGCTGGACACACACACACACACATACACACACACACACACCAGGCTCTGGGGGGCTGGACACACACACACACACACACCAGGCTCCGGGGGGCTGGACACACACACACACACACACACACACACCAGGCTCCGGGGGGCTGGACACACACACACACACTCCAGGCTCCGGGGGGCTGGACACACACGCACACACACACACACACACACACTCCAGGCTCCGGGGGGCTGGACACACACACACACACACACACACACACCAGGCTCCGGGGGGCTGGACACACACACACACACACACACACACACCAGGCTCCGGGGGGCTGGACACACGCACACACACACCAGGCTCCGGGGGCCGGGGAGGACACACACACACACACACACACACACGCGCACACACCAGGCTCCGGGGGCCGGGGAGGACACACACACACGCACACACACACACACACACACACACCAGGCTCCGGGGGGCTGGACACACACACACACACACACACACACACACACACCAGGCTCCGGGGGCCGGGGAGGACACACACACACGCACACACACACACACACACACACGCACAAGCACACCAGGCTCCGGAGGGCCGGGGAGGACACACACACACACACACACACACACGCGCACACAGTTGGAGGCCAGCAGCTCGCTCTAAGCCTCTGGGGGGCGCTCCTCGCGTGCGGGGCGGGAACAGCACCCTGGGTGCTTAGAGCAGACGGTCACGGAGATGGGGCGGGGGGGAGGGAAGGGGGAGATCGGGATGCATCTTATTCAACAATTCTAGTTCTCAGGAGACAGGTTCCTCAGCACGGTGGCCGGCAAACGGCGGCTCGCGAGCCGCAGGCGGCTCTGGCCCCTGGAGTGCGGCTCTCCCACAGAACACACGGCCCGGGCGCGTCTACTTGAACAAGTGGCGTCAGGAGAAGTTTAAGTTTAAAAAGCTCGGCTCTCCACAGGAATGTCCGTCGTCGTGCTGCTGGTATGTGGCTCCATGGACGATGAGTCTGCCGACCGCAGCCCCAGACGTGTGCTGACAGATAATCCTGCCTCAGCACCTGTCGCCGTTCCCGCCCTCCGTGGTAACGTGCTCAGGCTCTGCGTTTCCCGGGGCTCCTTCCTCTCCCTGCTGTGCCCCCCGATTCCCCCAGAAGGTCAAGTACAGCGGGTGCCGTCTTCCCCGCGGCCCCCTCCAGTGGCCTGAGACACAGGGTCGAACCCCTCGAACCCTAGGCATTTTCTCTTCACGAATTCGTTGAAGTGACGGCTGCGAACATGTCTAAGCGTGAGCCCCGGAGACCTTCGCTGCGGTCATGTGACCTCAGAAACCGTCAGCGGCCGTCCTAGGCTGGCAGGTTTGCACACACAGCTGAGCACACGCTCGGGATCATTCACAACCAGGGAGGACCTCTGAGGGGGCTCTGATGTGTGCCCCTCCTGCTGTCCACACAAGCTCAAGTTCACTCCAAGTTTCTAAAAGATTTTCTTTGGCCCTAACCGGTGTGGCTCAGTGGATAGAGCGTCGGCCCTCGGACTGAAGGGTCCCAGGTTCGATTCCGGCCAAGGGCATGTACCTTGGTTGTGGGCACATCCCCAGTAGGGGGTGTGCAAGAGGCAGCCAAGCAACGAGTCTCTCTCATTACTGATGCCTCTCTCTCTCTCTCCCTCTTCTTCCTCCCTGAAATCAATAAAATTCTATTTAAAAATAAATAAATAAATAAGGGTAAAAAGATCTTTCTGTGATGCTTACAAACTGCTCCCTCCCAGCACTGCCAGGGAGAGACCCGTCCTGGCTGAAGCCACATGTGTGGCCGGCGGTGAGCCGGGCCACTGAGCGTGTGCTTCAGGAAGATGCTGATTCTACCCGCCCAGCCGCCAGCACGGGGTCAGAGGGCAGCCATCGCCCGTGAAAGGGGAGAATGAATGGGTGGATCAATGAGCTCGGTTACTGAGCGCTCACGAGTCTTGGTACGGCTCTGAGCTCCTGGATCGGGCACCCCTCGCACTCAAGCAGCCAGGATATAGAAATGATCCCGGGGGAAATTAATCCCTAAAAGGAGAAAGCTGTTCTATCTCACTAGATTGGGGGGAAGGGGGAGAGGAAACTGGACAAAAAGGAAATAATAGAAACCACCTCGAGTTTCACTCCACGTAACATCCTGGTCACGGTTTTGAGACCATTGGAACCAATAACCCACGGACATGCCAGCCGCCCAGCCCGCGCCCGCCCCCCGCCCGCGCCCCCCGCAGCCGTACCTGAATGGAAGGTAGGGGGGGTTGGAGCCGGACAGGAGCGCCCTGTAGGCCTCTTCCGGAGTCTTCTTCAGGTAGATGACCTGCGGCAGACAGACAGCGGGTTCAGATGGCGCCAGGCCGCCCGGAGCGGGATGCTCGCCCGTGGGCACCCCTCCCGCTGAGGGGCAGGGGGCAGGTGATCGCGACGGGGCTGCCCGCCTGTCCTGCCAGCCCTGGCGGAAGGGAGGCTGAGAGCCTGGGCACCGAGGGCAGACCCTGAGCTGCCTGGGCCGTGCTAAAGGCACGAACAGCCAGCTGGTGTGGCTCAGTGGTGAGCGTCGGCCTAGGAACCAGGAGGTCAGGGTTTGATTCCCGATCGGGACACAGGCCCGGGTTGTGGGCTCCATCCCCAACAGGGGGTATGCAGGAGGCAGCCCATCCACTGAAGTTTCTCTCCCTCTCCCTTTCCCTTCCTCTCTGAACTCAATAAAAACATATATTCTCACACACACACACACACACACACACACACACACGTCATGGGTGGGTCCAAGCGGGGGCAGACGCACTGTGTGTTGCTGACGGTACTGTGCTCCCCGCAGACCCCTGGCCCCGGCCCTCTCGGGAGACCCGCCTCAGGGCGATGGCGCTGGATCAGACCGTGGAGCTCCCTGGGCAGAGCCAGCCCAGGGCCCCGGGGCCGGAGGCGGCCGCCCGGGAGCCGCCCTCCCCGCACGGCTCAGCAGCATGACCCGCTCCCGCGGGAACGTGAGCCGGGCTTTATTTTTATCCCGGCGCTCAATTATTCATCAGCGCAAAGCGACACCGCGAGGCCTCGCCATCCCAGGAAGGCTCCGTAGGGGCAGGCGAGGGCAATGCCCTGGGCGCCTGCCGGGGGGGTGGGGAGAGGCGGGGCGCCCGCAGAGGGCGCTGCGGAGGGCACCCTCCTGGGCCGTTAGAGCACCAGGTGCCCTGTTTCAGGAGAAAATGTGTCATGGCTCTCATGTGTCACGGCCCTGCCTCTGGGGAAAGGGAAGGGAGCCCTGGCCGGGTGCTCGGCTGGTTGGAGCTTCAGCCCGAGGTTGCAGGTTCGATTCCCGGTCAGCACTCATCCTGGTTGTGGGCTCAGTCCCCGAGGGGCACGTGTGGGAGGCAACCGATTGATGGTTCTCTCTCTGCCCCCCCCTTTCCCCGCCCCTTCTTCTGTCTCTAAAAGTAATTTTTTAAAAACATATCCTCAGTGAAGATTTAAAAATATGAAATAATTCTTTAAAATATGAAATAATTCTCCAGGTGGCAGGCGCTGTTCCCGGAAAGTGACTGATTTGGCTCCTTAATCCCCACGACCGCCCCGAAGCAGGGAGGAGATGAACGTGAGTCCCCAAACACCTCTCCTCCGTTTCACCCGTGTCCGTGGGCCTCTGGTACCAGCCACACGGTACCAGCCACACGGTACCAGCCACACGGTACCAGCCACACAGTGCATCCCACACGGTACCAGCCACACGGTACCAGCCACACGGTACCAGCCACACAGTGCATCCCACACGGTACCAGCCACACGGTGCCAGCCACATGGTACCAGCCACACGGTACCAGCCACACGGTGCCAGCCACACGGTGCCAGCCACACGATACCATCCCACACGGTACCAGCCACACGGTGCCAGCCACACGGTGCCAGCCACACGGTACCATCCCACACGGTACAGCCTGCACGGTGCCAGCCACGGGTACCTGCTTACCCAGCTGCCCTGAACGCCGTCATGGCAGCAGGACAAGAACGAACGGCCCTGTCGCCAGGGAGGCGCGCGTCTGTCAGGGACCACAGCGCCCGGGCCTGCGACATGGGTCCCGGGTGGAAGAAATGGTGCCGGAGGCTGGTACCAGGGTGGTGGGCGCACACGTACAGATGACGCAGCACAGAACTGTAGGCTTGAACCTGTGCCTTTGTTAGCCACGCCACCCAATGAGCTTAACTGCACGACAGGAAGCAGCAGGAGATCAGTGAGCCTGTGGATATGCCTCCAGCGCGAACCCTGAGTGATTCCACACACTGGACTGACACTCAGACATCACCAGCTCCTTCCAAACGCACTGCTCTGCCCGCACTGGCCCTGGGCTCAGGACTGACTCCAAACCTGGGGCCTGGTGGGCAGGGCAGCCGGCACAGGAGAAAGGTTTTCTTGATGTAAACAGAGAAATAACGGGAAGAACCGTGAAGCAGAAAAGACATGACTCCCTGGCCCTGCCGGCGTGACTCAGCGGTGGAGCATCAAACCATGAACCAGGAGGTCACGGTTCCATTCCCCGTCGGGGCACAGGCCCGGGTTGGGGGCTCCATCCCCAGTGGGGGGCGTGCAGGAGGCAGCCGATCCAGGATTCTCTCTCCTCACTGATGTTCCTATCCCTCTCTCTGAAAAGTCATTAAAAACATTAAAAAGTAAATAAGGAGGCCAAGTTGCACAGGAGGAAGGCCTCCACGCTGGCTGGAGGGGGGGGGGAGAGGGGGGGAGAACCCGGCGGGGTGGGGGCAGGGAGGCCGAGGGGCTGGCTCCCTCGGTCAGGACCCTTGCAGAGGCCCAGCCCCTCGCGGGAGGACCAGACAACCACGCATTCACTAGTAACGGGAGCACGCTCCCGAGGGACCACAGAGAAGCCGCGTGCTCCTTTCCGAGCTGAAGGAGCCTGAGGTGAGATGCTATCCGCTCCCAAGACAGGCCAGGGGCATGGGAACCGAATGCCCCGTCCGCAGCCCAGGCTCGGATCCGCCGCCCCTCCGGGACGGCTCAGAATAGGAAACCAACAATGGGCCCCACAGGAACTGGCTGTTCCCGCTGTGTGTACGGGGCCGTTGCCGGGCGAGGGGGGCACAGGGCGGGTGCGGGTCAGGTGTCCGCAGGGCGGGCGCCCAGGGTGCTTGGCTACGGGACAGGACTGTCCTCCGAGAACACGGCAGAATCAATCACTCCTCAGTGCCCACGCACTGTTAGCCCGGCCCAGCCTGGCTCCGTGGTGGGGCGTCGCCCCAGGAACCAGGAGGTCAGGGTTGGATTCCCGGTCAGGGCACAGGCCCGGGTTGGGGGCTCCATCCCCATCAGAGGGTGTGCAGGGGGCAGCTGATCTGTGATGCTCTCATCATTGATGTTTCTCTCTCCCTTCCTTCCTCTCTGAAATCAGGAAAAACACATACATTTTAGACTGCTTATTCCACTATGATAATGATGGTTTTCTCATGTAGATGTAGGTTTTAATTTTTTAATATTCTTTTTATTATGCACTGGCCGGGCTATTTATACTTTTGAAAGCAGCAACCATGTTCCCTGAACATTTCCGTCCGCTCATGCCAACACGGGAGGACTGAGACCTGTGAAGGCGGCGGCCTCAGGAGAAGGGACGGAAGCCCCGCCAGCAGGGGCGGTGCCCACAGGCCCAACAAAGGCACCAGGGACCGGAAGTCCGCCACCGTCCCCGGGGCTGCTGGGAATGCCCGCCCCTCCCATCACGGCCCCGGGAGACCTCGCCGCTCCCCCCCACCCCACAACTCAGTCCACACAGCTCTGTCCTGGAGAAAGTCAGTGATTTCTCAAGGCTGCTGCTAAGGCTCCAAAAAAGGCGAGAGCAAGCTGTGGGAGCATGTACAGTGTGCCGTACTGAATACGGTGCGTGTGTGTGTGTGTGTGTGTGTGTGCACGGTACCAGCCACACGGGACCAGCCTGAGAGCTTTTTAACATATATATATATTATTTCAGAGAGAAAGAGAGAGGGAAAGAGACAGAAGTATCAATGATGAAAGAGAATCATAGATCAGCTGCCTCCTGCACGCCCCCCGCTGGGGACTGAGCGCACAGCCCGGGCCTGTGCCCTGACCGGGAATCGAACCCTGACCTCCTGGTTCACAGGTTGATGCCCAACCACTGAGCCTCGACCGCCGGGCACTGAGAGCCTGTTTAGGACCCAGGAGAACAGAAACCAGAGATTCCTGGAAAGACGGTTTATTCCGTTAAACGTGAGGAGCGACCCTCCGGCGGACGAAAAGCATTTTCCTCGCCCGCAGCCATACGGGATCCCAGCCAGGGCGCCCGCCCCGGCCGCAGGCTCAGAGCTCCCAGCTGCGCGGTCGGCCGGTGAGGTGTGAGGGCCCTGACCTCCTCCAGAGCCACCAAAGACCCCAGGGAGAGCGCCCGCCCCGCCCTCCTGCAGGCGATTAGCACCCCGCGGTCTCGCCCTCCGGCTGTGGAAGGAAGGAGCTGGGGACCGGCAGCTGCCGGGCCCAGGAACAGGCCCCGGAGCACACGCGTGGTGGCTGCCTAAGAACCCGGAGGCCAAGGCCTCTGTCCTGAACCAACAGTTTATGTTATTTTAGGCTGATGCTCAACCACTGAGCCACACCGGCCAGGCTCTGCACTTAACTTTTAAAGCCAAACCAGGGCTTTTAATGTCCGCTCCTCAGACACACGCTCTCCCTCCTTCGGCCGTCACGGCCTGGTCCCCCCACACACACCCCGCCTTGACCCCATCGCTGTCTGTGAACATACGAAGGCCCTCCCCCACGCAGAGGGGGGGGACAGAAACGCAGGTGCATCGGGGAGGAGCTCACATGGGTGACCGGCAGGAAGCCACGCCCGGCTGCCAGGGAGGAGCCGGCTGCCAGCGCTGGTGGCCTGGCCGGCAGGGCGCAGGGGCTGACTGTCGGCCTGGGAACCAGGAGGCCACGGTTCCATTCCCGCTCAGGGCACAGGCCGGGGGTGTGGGCTCCATCTCCAGTGGGGGGCGTGCAGGAGGCAGCCGATCCATCGCTCATTATTGATGGTTTCTCTCTCTCTCTCCCTCTCTGAAATCAATAAAAAATGTATTAAAAAAAAAATGAAAGAAAAGAAAAGAAAGGTCGGTGGCTGCACCACACTGTGAATGTGCCTGATTCCATGGCCGTACACGTCACACGGGTCAGGAGTCATCGCAAGAAAGCAAGCCCGTAACTCTGGATGATGACACGTGTTCACTGGACTCCACCTCCAATCTGATCGTTTTCAGAGTTTTCCTCTGACGTGACCTCCCTCCCTCCCTCCCTCCCTTCCTTCCTTCTTTCCTTCCTTCCTTCCTGTGGGGTCGTTCCCTTTTCCATTCATTTGCTCAATGTTTATCAGGCACCTGTGATGTGCCGGGCACAGCTCTAAGCTCCATGCTCAGCGTCCAGACACACAGCCCCCTCGTCCTGCAGCCTGGCAGCACCCCACCCTCCCCGACACCGGCCGCCCCTCCTCCTCTCTCTCTGGACGCCCCCACCCGGACGGCCCTGTGGCTCAGCGGCCGGACCGCCCTGTAGCTCAGCGGCCGGACGGTTGAACGTTTTACCGCCTCCCAGACACAGCAACGCGTGGAGCCAGCAAGGCCCCCGCCTTCTGGTCTGGGAAAGAGATAAGCAACCAGCAAACACGTCCACGACTCAGATAAGCCAGACGGGAGCCACGGAGACGAAGGGGGGGGCACCTGGGAGGGGGCTCTGCGGAGGGACCATCAGGAGAAACAGGGGCCGGAGGGCTGGGGTGGGACACTGCGGGGGACGGAGCCGGCGAGGCCTCTGCCGGGAGCACGCTCGGGGTCCCACGGGGGAGGCCTCAGGGACCGGAGCATCTGTCCTCTAAAGATCTTAGCAGTTTTTGAGGGAGAGAGCGACAGGGATGTGAGAGAGAAACGCCGATCCGCTGCCTCCTACCAGGGATGGAGGCTGGCCTGGGTCCTGACCGGGAATCGAACCAACAGCCTTTCCGTGTCCCGGACGACGCCCCGCCAGCGGAGCCACGCCGGCCGGCGGGGGGAGGATGGTGAGCGCGGAGCCCAGAGAGGCGGACGGGCGGGCCGGGAGGATTCGGCGGCCCCGGGAAAGAGGTCGGACGCCAGGCCAGGAGCGGGGCATCCTGGATGGGGCAGTGACCCCGTTTCCTTTGTGCTCGTGAAGGGCCGCTCTGGTCTGGACAAAGGAGGGAGCGGAGGAGGGCGTGATCGCCATGGGGCAGTGATAGGTCTGGAGGCAGAGCTGCCCAAACCACTGACCAGCCTGCAAACACGGCTCCCAGTCCCCCCGCTGCTCTCAGAGTGAAAGCCACCTCCCGCCGGCGCCGCACACAGCCCCGTCTCTCGGAACTGGGGGGAACTCGGACGCCATCGGACCCCCACCCCGTCTCGCTTTACAGAGCAGGAACCCGGAGGAAGCCAGCGATGGCGGCTCTGCCCTCCCCCCGGCCACACGAGCGAGGAAGCACTTTCAGTTCCCGCTCAGGACTCCGCGTGCCAAGGCCAGGAACATTTCAAAAAAGGAACATCTCAACAGCCTTCTAATAGATATGTTTTTGCTGGAAATACCCTCTCTGGGGATGCTTTTTGCTCTAACACCTGCACTGCCCTGGAATCCCAGCCACACCGCGCGGCTCCCAGAACCCGCCATCGGCTACGAAATTAAAACCGCAGAGGGCACTGCCCACAGGTACCAGGTCCACTCTCTCCATCCGGTCGGCTGCCCCCCACCGGCTGCGGACAGGGGACGGAGGGGACGGGGGGGGGGGACAGAGGGGATGGAGGGGACAGCGTCGGCACCCCAGAGAGCAGCCGCCACCCGGTACTCACGGCGTAGGCACCGATCAGGAATGCTGCGTTTGCTCTTTTCCGCTGGTCAAAGCAGGTGTAATGCACTATTTTCTTTCTTGACAAACTGTAGGACTAGAGAGAGACGGGGGAGAGTTAGGGCGGCCACAGCGACCGGCTGACAGATGCGAGACACCCCCTCTCTCAGCTCTCCGAGGCGGCCCCGGGAGCCGGCACACCAGGGTCTCTGCGGCGTCTGAACCGGTGCCGGGGCGCGGGGTTCCCAGCCCGGACTCTGCAGCCCCACGCGATGGAAGAGCTGGCATCGGACCGCGTGTCTCTCCGGGAAAGCAGACGCGTACGTTGGAAATAACTGAGTTACTGACGAGCATCTTTGTCAGCAGAAACCGTCTCTGAGGATTTACTCTTCCACGTCAAGTCCTTCGTCACGCCCGCACACCGGAGGAGCGGCTCTGCCGGGCGCATCGTGTAGCTGGCCGTGGCCGTGGCCGCCAGTCCACTTCCGCGTTAACACGTGTAAGCGCCCGCATGAATGAGAGCACCGCGCTAACGTTTTCCGTCTAACGAGCCCGATGCAAAGCCCCTCTTCATGACTGGAGATCCACGGAGTGGCCAGGTTATTAGGATCTCTGAACGCATAATCATCTGGCCACTCCATGGATATCCTATAGAATAAAAGGCTAATATGCAAATGGTCCCCTCCACCAGGAGTTTGACCAGCAGGCAGGCCGGCCAACCGCCCATGTCCCCTCCCCCTGGCCAGGCTGGCCGGACCCCACCCATGCACGAATTCATGCACCAGGCCTCTAATATATATATATATATAGCCACATATATAATCCGGCCACTCAGTGTAAATGGTTAATAGAAAAAGATGAACCACCCACGGGATTATATCAGCAAACATCTTACTACAGCTGCCGGGTATTAAATTCACAGATTCAAACAGGCATGGAGCGCCTGCTGCACGCCAGGCAATGTGCTACGTGCTCAAGCACTCAGCAGGACCCAACATGAGCAGCGTGGTGCGTGTGGCCATGCCAGACGGAAGAGACTGTGCAAGCGGAAAGGCCGGTTAAAGCGAGATCAAAGAGTTAATCAGAACTCAGACATAAAACAGGGAGCTCGGCAAGAGTCTCTCCGTTTCCTCATTTCCGACATGATAGCGTGTCTCGTTGTTAGCTCTCACTGGGGGATATTTTCTCCATGGTTTTTTCATGAGAGCAGAAGGGGGAGGAAAGGAGAGAGAGAGAGACACATCCACTGGTCGCCTCCCGTACACACCCTGACCAGGGGTGGGGCGCGAACCCACAACCCAGGTCCGCGGCCTTGACCGGGAACCAAACCCGAGACCCTTTAGTGCGAGGGCCAACGTTCTAACCACTGAGCAACACCAGCCGGGACCCAAAGTGACCGCAGTTCCACAAACGGTTCTCATGACACAGACACGGAAGTGGCCATACGTATCCACAGCCTGGCACTGACCACCACACCCAGAGGCCCCTCGGGGATGTAACGGAGCTCCACGCTCCGCCCTCCGTGTCCCGGACCCATGACCACTGGAGGAACACAAACCAGTGCATGGTGACTGATGACGGGGAGACGGTGCGTGAGGTCCTCCCGCCCAGCCCCGGCCGGCCTCCCTCTCCGGGGTCACTGCCCCAGCCCTGCACCAGCAGCACCGTCCCACGGAAGGCCATCTGGTGCCCGAATGAAAACGCTCGGGCATAACAAAACCTCTTTTACAGCAAAGCCTCCTTTATAGCAAAACGCTGTGCCAGCTCAGGTTCAGGCCCGGTTGGGCATGTAGGGGAGGCCACTGATCAGTGTTTCTCTCTCACGTCCGTGTTTCTCTCAAACAAACAAACAAACTGCTGGTGGTGAGGATAAATTCCGTTTTTTTTTAAAGTAGCATTCATGCCCCCAAAACGGGTCTGAGGACTGCCCGCAGCCCAGGCGCCCCGTTCGCGGGGTCTGGGCGCGGTGACGGGGGCTGAGGAAGTGGTATTTGGTCTCTCAGCGGGAGCGGAGCCGGAGCTGAGTGTGAAGCGCGCGGCTGACAGCGGGGGGCAGAGGGGAAGCCCAGGCACTCGCTGGAAACGCTCCCCTGATGACAACGGGGAGCTGGTGGCCACGGCGGCGGCAGACAGACCAGCAAGGACCAGCGGGCGACCTTCCTGACAGGTGCGGGCATTGTCCAACAGGGTCAGGAGCCCCGGCCGGTCAGGGAAAGAGCCTCGTTCTGCAAACGGAAAGGTCCTGGGTTCGGTTCTGATCAGGGCACAGGCCTGGGTTGGGGGCTCATTCCCCGGGAGGAGGCGTGCAGGAGGCAGCCGGTCCGTGATGCTCTCTCATCATGGATGCTTCTCTCTCCCTCCCTCCCCCTTCCTCTCTGAAATCCATAAACATGTATACTTTCCAAAAAGGTAAAGAAAGAGGAGATAAAAGGTGGGCCTTCGTATTTCCCATCTATCCATTCACATCCTCCACCTCCAGACGTTCCCACCCCCACTGCGTCCCTGAGCGAGAGGAGAGCTTCGGCCCTCGCGTGAGAACGCTGACAGCACACACACACACACACACACACACACACACGTACACATACACACACACATATATATATATACACACACATACACATATATACACACGTACACACACACATATACACACACATATATACACACACATATATACACATATATACACACATACACATATATACACATATACACACATACACACATATACGTACACACACGTACACATACACATATATACACACATACACACATATATACATACACACATACACACATACACACACATACACACATATATATACACACGTACACACACATACACACACATACACACACATATATACACACACATACACACACACAAACACACACACACACACACACACACTTAACGGCACTCAAAGTCCCCGAGGGCGAGGACGGAACGGCGTAAATCACGGCGTTGGCCTTGACCCCAGACAGGCACTTCCTGTCCGGGAAGCAGAGCCTGTGACAGGGTCCTCATGGGGTGGCTCCGAGTGGGATCCAGCCCCGGTGACTCTGTGATGGAGGCGGGACGGGCCACAGGCCGATCCATCGCAAACAGCCCGCCGTCCTTGGCCGCGGTGCCGTGCACACGCCATGCTTGGTCAGGAGGTCCCAGACCACCGAGCCATTCAAACCCCAAAGGTGAGCGAGGCAATGAAGCTCGAAGCCAAAACGCAAGAACCAAGGAGTCCACGCCTGCGGGAAGGCGTCTGCGGGCAGGAGGGTGGCTCGGTGAGGACACCGGTGTCATTTCCTGTGCCCCCGCCTGGCCGGGCCGGGCTGGGGAGACCCCGTGCAGCCTGGGGAACGTGCTAATCAAACAGGCGCAGCCGTGCACCCCACGCCGGCCGCCCGGTGACCAGGCCAACCCAGCCATGGCCGCAGCCACCAGCGTCTCCATAGAAACTGCAAAAGCCAGCAAAGGCGCTAACGGCCCCCCTGTGCGCAGCCAGCACCTGTGCGTGGTTACCTCCAGCTTGCCCAGGAAGGGGATATTCTGGAACGTTCTCTTGGGCTGCGCACAAAACAAAGCACGGTTACGTCTATGCTCAGCGCACCCAGGTGACGGGGGTTGGGGGGATGGGGTCTCAGCAAAAAGGAAAAGGCGTCTGGGCGGCCCCTGGCGGTCCAGACCCACGCCCTTAGCGTCTGAGTCACACATCCGAGCATCATGGGAGCAGGAGTCCTACGGATCCTGTGGCCCACAGCACGGCCCGGGGGGGGGGGGGGGGGGGCTCTACAAAAGGGGTTCCCCTCGCCCGGCCGGCGGGGCTCCGCGGCTGAGCGTCCGCCTATGAACCAGGAGGTCAGGGCAAGATTCCCGGTCAGGGCACCTGCCTGCGTTGCAGGCTCCATCCCCAGTGGGGGGCGTGCAAGAGGCAGCTGATCCATGATTCTCTCTCATCATCAATGTTTCTTTCTATCTTTCTCTCTGAAATCAACAAAAATACTTTTTTTAAAAATAGGTCGTTCCTCCTGCTGGGGATTTCTGAATGGCCACAAGGGTCCCAAGTCTTGCAAACGCCAACGGGAGCTCCCCGCCACGTGAATTCACGCTGCCCGGAGCCCCTGACCCCTCCCTAATCCGCAGGAACTGCCTCCAGGAGGAAGCTCGCTCCCCCCACCCCCGAGCCCGTGACCTGAAACCGAAGATAACCCGTGAGGAAATCTCAACACGCCTTTGTGGTGGTACGAGCGGGTGGTCTGATCGCGACAGCAAAGGGCTTTTGTGTGCAGGCACCGATCCGGGGCGGGGCTGGCCAGCTAGAGTTACCGCGATCCCCTCGGCACCGGGCGTCGCCGGCCCACCATCTGCCGGGCACCTGTGCTCCGCACAGGCGCCGTTTCACCGGGCCCGCCTCCCCACGCCGCCCAGAGGGCCCCGGGACTCGTGTGTGTCTGCCATCGCATCTCTGTCAACATGCTCTCCGGCCTTTGAAAAGCATCCTCCGGGGACGGTAACTGGCCTGCTGGTTCTTCAGACCCGGTTTCTAGTGAGTGTTTTTAAATCGCTGCCCTAGAACGTCCCCCTTTTTCAGTAGTAATGCTCTTAGATTTCCCCTCCGCCCCCGGCCAGGGTTTTGATTTTCTCCGGGAAAAAGTGAAGCCAATCGTTAAAACTGTATTGGCTATTTTAGAAGAAGCTGGCGGAGCCATATCATGTTTATAAAACTTGCAGATTATTGGCCGAAACCGGTTTGGCTTAGCAGTAGAGCGTGGGTCTGCGGACTGAAAGGTCCCAGGTTCGATTCCAGTCAAGGGCATGTACGTTGGTTGCGGGCACATCCCCGGTAGGGGGTGTGCAAGAGGCAGCTGGTCGATGTTTCTCTCTCATTGACGTTTCTAGCTCTCTCCCTTCCTCTCTGTAAGAAATCAATAAAATATATATTAAAACTTGCAGATTGTTGAATGGGTAGCAAAGATTTGAATGACTACGTTTGAAGAGGGTATTCTGTTTTTTTTAAATACCACTTCTGCCCGGCTGGTGTGGCTCAGGGGTGGAGCACTGACCTATGAACCCGGGGTCAAGGTTCGATTCCCGGTCGATGACACATGCCCGGGTTGTGGGCTCAATCCCCAGTGTGAAGCCCCTGCACCCCCCTATCCCCCACCCCCGGACCCAGGTCACCGCACGACGGGTACACCGCACCCCGTCGGCCGGAGCTCAGAGCTCAGTGCGGGGTGTGGAGGCCCGGGGGGGGGGGGGGGGGGTGCCGGGAGACGGCACCAGAACACCCACCTTCAGCTTCTTGTTCAGCTTGCAGCAGTATCTGTACACCATGGCCAGGTTCAGGGGTCCGAAATCTGCATAGAAGCTGAGATTAGGACAAAAACGGGAGTTAATGAAACTGAGACTTTTGTTCTCGTTAAAGCTGCTGTCGGGTTTCAGTTATCCTCAGGCAAAGGGCCCGTTTGCAGCTGACTCGTGGAAATCCAAAGGGCCGTCTCGCACTGGGGAGCCACCTGCACAGCTTGGGTTCCCCCTCCTCTCCTCTCTCTGACCGGCCCGGACCTCCCCCTGCCAGGCGGCGCGAGAACCCCACCCACAAGGCACACACGTGGCCCGCTGGCGGGTTTACTTCCTCATCTTAAAGCTCGTGGGCTCCGGTTCCAACCGCTCCCCGCAGACCTCGCTCTCCACTCGCTCTCCCGGGCTCTGTAACGTGCACACACGGCTCCTCTCCCTCTCTCCGCCCCGGCATGTCCCCGGCACGCTGTCAGTCTGCAGACCACCCAACCCCGAGGAGAACAGCTCCTGACCTGACGCCAGCACCGCCTTCTCCGCCTCCCACTCCCTGCTCACCCTCCCACCTACAGGTGCTCCCGCCACCCGGGTGAGCGTCCTCACAAGCTGGCGAGCCCGGCCAGCGTGGCTCAGACGCTGAGCATCAGCCTACGACCCAGGAGCTCCCAGTTCCATCCCCCGTCCGTTCACACACCTGGGCTCCGGGCCCGACCCCCATTTAGGGGCCGAGCAGGAGGCAGCCGATGGATGGTCCTCTCTCTTCATTGATGTTTCTCTCTCATCGATGTTTCTAACTCTCAATCCCTCTTCCTTGCTCTTTGTAAACAAATCAATAAAAGATATTAATCCAAGAACGTTGACAATACAAAAAAAAAAAATTTAACTGCTTTATAAGTGGATGAAAAACAAGGCTCCAGTGTCTTCCCAACGCTGCTGGCGTCTGTCTGCTCGCTCGCTCACTCGCTCACTCAGCGGGGTCTTTACACAAAGCTGCTGACCGCCCTTCCCTGCCACACGGCGCTCACCGCCCAAGGAGACGCCGAGCCAGTGTGTTATTCCAGCCGCAGCGGCCTCCGGTGCAGAGGGTCATGTCACCGTGGGCACGTGTGCACGTGTAAAACGTGGCTGCTGTTCACCCGCCAGCCCTCCGGGCCACACACGCCACTGCCGAGCAGTCTCCCCATCACCCGGCCATTATCAGCATCCCTCCAGCCAGACGGGAACGCTCCTGTGCCTGGCTGAGGCTCAGGACAGGCGAGCTTCAAAAACGCCGGACTGCTCAGCAGACCCTGACCGACGACCAAAGCGCCGTCCGAGTGTCCGCCGAGCCCGCCCGCCCGGTGCAGCTACGAGGCGCCCCAGCCCCACACCCGGCACAGAGACCCCGATGGGAAACGGGGAAGCAGGGGGGTCTGGTCCACACTGCACGGCTCCGGTCCCTGGGCTGGCATCCTGGCCTGTCGGGGCCACCACAGCCTGACCTACCGAACGCTGCTGACATCGCCGGCTCCTGACGTTCCTTCCTGATCACCAAGGATCTAACCTGCACGCTTCCTACCCTATCACATCCCTTCGCCTCCCTGGCCAATGTGCATATTACAGGCTTTTAGACGCCGAGAGGCCAGATGATGAGGATCTCTGAACGCATAATCATCTGGCCACCCAGTGTGTGTGTGTGTGTGTGTGTGTGTGTGTGTGTTTTAGAGGCCCAGTGCATGAATTCGTGCATGGGTGGGGTCCAGCCAGCCTGGCCAGGGGGAGGGGACATGGGCAGTTGGCCAGTCTGCCTGCTGGTGGGACTCCTGGCAGAGGGGATAATTTGCATATTAGCCTTTTATTCTATAGGATAGACACGGAGTGGCCAGATGATTGTGCGTCCAGAGATCACCATCATCTGGCCCCTCCGTCGACGTGACCGTATTTGATTTACACACCTTATCGCAGGTGAAAAGGGGGCGCTGTGGAAGGCAGCCTCCAAATGACCTGATCTTAAATTCCTGCCGGGCAGGTCCCGGAGGGCAGCCACCTCCCAGACACGGACCTTTTTTAGGAAAAGGTTTCTCTTTGCCTCGAGCAAGCCCCGCCCTTGTTCTCGTGCCTCCAGGCTAACGTGCCTTTGAAACAAGTGAAAAAGCACCTTCCACCCTGACCGGTGTGGCTCAGTGGATGGAGCGTCGGCCTGCAAACTCAAGGGTCCCGGGTTTGATTCCGGTCAAGGGCATGTGCCTTGGTTGCGGGCACATCCCCAGTGGGGGGTGTACAGGAGGCGGCTGACGGATATTTCTCTCTCGTCAGTGTTTCTAATTCTCTATCCCTTTCCCTTCCGCTCTGCAAAAAATCAATAAAATATTTTTTTTTAAAGGAAAAAAGAAAAAGAAAGAAAAAGCACCTTCCAGGGAGCTCAACTACCCTGGAACCCGAGCCCGCCTCGCCTGCTCGAACCTCCTGTGACCTGCCTCGCGTTCCCTCCTTCGTGCCGAGCGCTCAGCCGGCTTTCCCTGCAGCGTCCGGCCACCGTCATCCGCGTGGCGCCAACGCCTTCAGGTAACACTCCTCGCTGGGTCGGCATGTTCGTGACCCGGGGCAGGCGGCGGAGCCCCATCCTGCTCCGCTGCAGCTTCTGCTAAACGGCTCGGGCCCCAAAACCAGGCGGCCGGTCCGACGGCACCGGCACCTCCCGGCGTCGTGGTCTGCAATCCGTGACCTCCCTCCTGGGAGCAAGTCAGTCAGTGACACCCCCTGGGGCGCTGAGACGGGGGACACCAGGCTCAGGAATGCACCGGGAGGCTCCTTTCCCTCCCAGGGGACATTCCCGGGCGGTGTGGTCAACCCGTCCGTCCACCGCAGGGAGGAGGGCGAGGGGGCCGCGCAGACGGCAGACACGTGGCTTTGGTAGGAAACAGAAGGATGAGCTCTGCCGGCGGGGCTCTGGGGCTGAGCGTCGACCTATGAACCAGGAGGTCAGGGTTCGATTCCCGGTCAGGGCACAGGCCCGGGGTTGGGGGCTCCATCCCCAGTGGGGGGCGTGCAGGAGGCAGCCGATCCGTGACCCTCTCTCATCACTGATGTTTCTCTCTCCCTCTCCCTGCCTCTCTGAAATCAGAAAACAAAAGAAAAGCACTAAAAGACACCAGGTGTTGAGCAAACAGACACGATCGGCGACATAAGCAGAGCGCCCCGGTGGCCCTGGAAGTACGTAGGTGATTAATAAAATTCGGTGTTTTAAGTAAATCAGAGCCCGTGCTCAGAAGCCCCGCCTCCCGCACTCCGCGCAGCGAGCCCAGCTCCGTCCGAGCCAGAGAGGAACCTGAGACGGAGCCGCCCACCGCCTCCACGGGCTCCAAAGCGACGTATTATCTCGGCGTCCAGGCCGGCTCCGTCTGCTTCTGCGAAAGACCTCAAAGGACAGGTCCTCTCTGCCCCTCGCTGCAGACACACACGCCCTTTATTTTGTCTTCATCCCCAGCACCGAGCACCAAGAGGCGGCCCCTCCTTCCGATGTGCATATGGGGCCGCCTTCAAGGCGCCACCGTCTGCCACTCACCCAACACAGAAACCCTGAATTCACCCTCCATTGCTCCTCCTCCTTCTCCTTCTCCTCCTCCTCCTCCTCCTCACGGGTCATCTGGTCAACCCATCCTTCCTGGCCCCTCCCCCACCTGGCCTTTCTGTTCCTGTTGCTACAGCCTGAGCTAACCCCGGCCACCACCCCGCCTGCCAGCCACCACCCCGCCTGCCCACGGCCCCCCTGCAGCCACAGGAGCGCTGTGCTGAAGCCCGGCTGTGGTCGGTCTCTCTGCCACTCACACACCAGCACCACCGAGACCCAAATACCTTCCCCTAACGCAGTCCCAGCCCCGTGGCCAGCCTGCCCATGACCCCTATGCACCCAAATATTCCGCCTCCCCTAACAGAATGTGCTGTTCCCAAACAGACTTTTCTTTTTCTTTATTCCTCCCTTCCTTCCTCCTTCCCTTCCTTCCTTCCTTCCTTCCTTCCTTCCTTCCCTCCCTTGCTTCCTTCCTCCCTCCCCTCTTCCCTACCTTCTCCATCACTCATCACTCAGCTAACATTTCCTGAGCACCATCTGTGTGCCAGGCACTGCGCTGGAGGTAGGGACACAACAGTAAGCCAGCCGGGCAGTACTGGTCCCCGCAGAGACCATCACAGACCCTTCGCTCTCCCACACCCTGCAAAGCCAGCTCCGACGTCGCTGAGATGTCATCACCCTGGCGGTGACCACCTCTTTCTCTCTAGGACTCCTGCACGTGCATGTGCAGCTTCTGGCGTTGACTGCTCTGTGCTTGTGTTCACTTCCTTCTTTATGTCTTCGAGTGGCCCCGAAGCAACGGCGGTGCTGAGGGAAACCTGTCCCATTGGGGGGTTAGCGTCCTCTGCAGCCGCCTGCAACCACCTCCGCGGTTTCAGAGGTGCTTTTGTCACGTCCCACAAACACGTCAGGTGTTTCTGTTTTGTTTTTCATCACCAAGGCGCATGGAGCTGTGGCTACGTAAAACTCATTGGCTTCTGGCCCTCGATTGTGTATATGAACTTACAAATGAGAACAGCTCACGCCTTAGAAACCTACATCAAACAGAAGGGGCTGCCCTGTGGTGACGTGGGAGGGCCGGTCCGCTCTCGCCCCTGGAGCCCCCGCAGCCCATTGGGGCTCCCTCAGGCTGCTGGTTGAGACCGGCCCTCTTTTAAGGGCGCCCTGAGCACCTCAGTGAAAACCTGCTTTGTCACCAGCTCTGTGGGAGGAGCTGACAAGAACTTGTCCCCAGGAGGACGAGACCCACTGGGAGTGCCAGAGGCCAAGGCAGCAGGTGTTGGCATAAATCAGGGTCCAGGCAGCAGCCTGGGACTCCAGCGGGCCCCAGCCCCAGGTGCTGCCTGGCGCGTGTGCACAGATCCGTGTATGCACAGATGAGAGTGTGCACAGATGCGTGTATGCACAGATGCACGTGTGCACAGATGCGTGTATGCACAGATGCGTGTATGCACAGATGAGAGTGTGCACAGATGCGTGTATGCACAGATGCACGTGTGCACAGATGCGTGTATGCACAGATGCGAGTGTGCACAGATGAGTGTGTGCACAGATGAGAGTGTGCACAGATGCGTGTATGCACAGATGCACGTGTGCACAGATGCGTGTATGCACAGATGAGAGTGTGCACAGATGCGTGTATGCACAGATGCACGTGTGCACAGATGCGTGTATGCACAGATGCGAGTGTGCACAGATGAGTGTGTGCACAGATGAGAGTGTGCACAGATGCGTGTATGCACAGATGCACGTGTGCACAGATGCGTGTATGCACAGATGCGTGTATGCACAGATGCGAGTGTGCACAGATGAGTGTGTGCACAGATGCGCGTGTGCACAGATGCGAGTGTGCACAGATGCGCGTGTGCACAGATGCGTGTGTGCACAGATGTGAGTGTGCACAGATGTGTCTCCTTCCTCATCACCTACCCCAGCGAGTAGGCTGTTAGTCACAGGCACAGGTGCACACCCCACAGGCACACGCCTAGAACTCGGTGTGCGAAGCAGCTCGGACAAAAGTGACGCGAACAGCGTTGTTGTCACCCTCGCCGGGCTCCGTGTGCAGGGGCTCCCTGGGGCCGCAGGTGACGCGGCCTGAGCTCTGGCTCTGACCCTGGCCTGCGATCCCAGCCCAGGAGCTGGGCCGCTCTCAGCCGCCGCCTCTGGCTGCCTTTTACTCAGCCGCTCAGGCTGGGGCAGAACACGTGAGCGCTCCTCACACCAGCCCCTCGTCTAACAAACCGCCTGCCCTACGCACGAGGCCACCGTGTGACTCTCCGCCCGGCCATGAGCACCCCCTCCCTCGGCCGCCTGCACGGGACACGCCGAGCCCCGAGCCCCAGCCTCAGCCTCAGAGGGCGCGCCTCCAGCTCCCCCAGTGGTTCCCGCGCGGGGCGCACACCTCCCTCCCCCCCACTTCCCCTCCCCGCCACTTCCCCTCCCCGCACCCCAGGGCGATGTGATGTGTCAGGGGGGCGACTCCAGAAGGAGTTCTCCCCTCGCTGCCACTCTCTCTACACATCAATGGGGAAATACCCCCTGATGAGAATTTAAAAAAAACAAAAGAACAACCCTCACGCTATCCACGGCGGTCTCCCTGCCAGCCTTTCTCAGGAGACAGCAGAAATAGGAATTACAGGGATGCCGAAGTGTAGCCTTACTCTAAAACGCCAACAAACCAGCGGCCCTCGTCCATCGGCCCACAATCCACTGAGCCACACGGTCTGCTGGGCCCCCGTCTGGCCATCCCAAGAGAAGCCACTCAGGCCTCGGTACGTTCAGACTGCCCGCCTCTGGCTGTGAGTCACTGCGGGACTGGCCATCATGGCACACGCACAGTCCCCTGCGCTCAGACGCCGGGAGGTGCCCAAACCCTGAGCTCGCCAAAAGACGGCCACAGCAATGCGCACTCAGAAACACGCAGGCGGACATCGCCCGGAACCGGGGCGGGACAGGCCACCTGCTCCCGGCTCCGCCCAGCAGCCCAGCTGGAACCCGACTCCGGCCTCAGCCCTCCTGCAGCCACGGGGGCAGGTTCACAGGCAGCAGCCACGCTCCCGTGCCCACGGCCACCACGGGCATCCTGCCCAGCTCCTCTGCCTGAGGCAGAGTCCCCAGACACCGGGTCCGAGCATCCCACGTGAACGTTAGTTTTCCCTCCAATCAAAGACAGGCACCCGCCCTCACCGGTGTGGCTCAGTGGACAGAGCATCGGCCTGCAGACTGAGAGGTCCCAGGCTCGATTCCAGTCGGGATCATGTACCTTGGTTTCGGGCACATCCCCAGGAGGGGTTGTGCAGGAGGCAGCTGATCGACGTTTCTCTCTCATCGATGTTTCTAACTCTCATTCCTCCCTTCCTCCCTGTAAAAAAATAAATAAATAAAAATAAAAAATCAATAAAATATATTAAAAAAAAGACAGGCTCCTGGAGGCCAAGGATGCTCACTCTCACTGCAGTGCCCAGCAGTCCAGGCAGGGCTGCCCAGCTCCCTTTCAACAGGCCAGGCCCCAGGGAGCTAACGAGAGCGACCGCGGCTCAGGCGATGATGCTCATCTCACTGCACATGTAGGTAACACAACAAGAAAGTGAAACTCGCCCACTGAGCCAAACCAGTTAGGGCTGAGCGTCAGCCTGCGGACTGAAGGGTCCCGGGTTCGATTCCAGCCAAGGGCACATGTCCTGGTTGTGGGCTCGATCCCCAGGAGGGGGTGTGCAGGAGGCAGCCAATCAATGATTCTCTCTCATCGTTGCTGTTTCTCTCTCTCTCCCTCCTCCTTCCTCTCTGAAACCAATAAAAATACCCAATATATGTTTTTAGAAAAGAAAGTAAAAGTAAGTGTTTAAGTTGGAATAGCTTAGACGACAGGATTATATGAAACCCCAGTTTCCTTTTTTTCCTAACTTTTAAATTGATTTTAGGAAGAGAGAGAGAAACACCGACCAGTTGCCCACGAGCTGACACCTTCGTTGGCTGGTTCTTGTCTGTGCCCTGACTGAGGATCCACCCTGAACCGGGTCTACTGCAGTGGCCGGCCATCTCATCCGTCCACAGAGCCAAACATCAACAGGACAACAACGGACATTTCTCTGGAGAGCCACATTTTTAAACTTAAACAACTTCTAACGCCACTTCTTCCAAATAGACTGGCCCAGGCCGTGGCATTTTGTGGAAGAGCCACACTCAAGGGGCCAAAGAGCCGCATGTGGCTCTCGAGCAGCAGTTTGCCGACCACGGGTCCAGTGGATGTGGGTCTCCCCCACTGAGCGGCCCGGCCCAGCGCTGCCCCAACCCTTTCAGTAGGAGGGCATCGTCCAGCCCACGGAGTCTCCTTAATCCTGATGCCCTGCTGCTTTCAATGAAGAGAGATTTCCTCTATTTAAATGGTCACTGTGCTTACTGTGTACCGAGATACCTCTTCCTGCGGGTCCCGCACAATAAGCAGGTCCACTCTCTTATGTACACGCTCAGACCCACCTTCCGAAGCAGCGAGGTAACCACAGAAGGCAGACGGCACTCCTCTGCCCGCCCCGAAGGCAGGGCAAAGCACACAGGGTGGGGGCTCGGAGCATTTTTAAAGCACGCCCCCTCAGAGCAAACACCGGATCCAGCTTTCCGAGACAACCAGCCGCACCAACGCAAACTTCCCGCGAGCCAGCAGCGGCCGTGGCCTGCGAGGCTGGAGCCCGGGGACACGCACTGCCCAGGCCTCGGACCCCGGGCCGCTGCAGAGTCCGGCAGGGACCCGGCGGGTCTCCCTGTCCAGCTCTGGGAGGGTTAATCCCCAGGTGCGGTCGATCCTGGTGGTCAGAACTAGTACAGACAGACAGATAGACGGACGCCCGAGGACTGAGGTGTTGACAGGTTCACCTTCTCTTCACTTTCAGCCCTGGCTGGGTGGTGGGTGGTGAGAGCACCCTCCTGCTACCTCAAGGCTGCAGGTTCGATCCCTGGTCAGCGCACATCGCGTCAACAACAAATGAAGGTCTCTCTCTGCGCGTCTGTCTGTCTGTCTGTCTGTCTCTATCCCAAAGGAACACGTTTAAAAGGTAAAATAAAGGCGTGCTTACCCTCCCCGAGCACCTGGCCCTGTTCCTCGCCCGCACCATTGGGGGAAAGTGACTAAAACAGCCAGAAAGTTAGTGGTGTTTCCTCACCAGCTAAAGGGTTGAGAAAAAAGCACACACACACACACACACACACACACAAAACACCCAGAAACTTACTTTTCATAGACCAGCTCCTCGTCGATGGAGAAATAGTGGATATGAACTGTGCTTTTGGGTCTATTCCTTAAAGTAGCAAAATATAAACGATCTGAAAGACAAGTTCAAAAGAGGAGAAACGTGTGAGAAGCGGGGAAGCTGGGGGGGCGGGTGGCGACCACAAGGGGAGGTCACAACAGCCAGAGTTCCCCATTCCTTACCCCCCACCCCCAACCAGCCCCCACACACACACTCACACACACACACACACTCACACACTCACACACACTCACACTCACACTCACAACCACACACACACTCACACACACACACTCACACACACACACTCACACACACACACACACACTCACACTCACACACACACTCACACACACACACTCACACACACACACTCACACACACACACTCACACACACACACTCACACTCACACACACACTCACACACACACTCACACACGCACACACATACACACACACACACACACACACACACACACACACACACGGGGCTCCTCGCGGGAACCTGATCTCCCGGAAGGAGAGACCCAGGGGCCCAGCACCCAGGCGCCCCGGGGGGGGGGGGGGGGGTAAAGGGGAGAGGAAGGGGGGCTCCGGGGCAGAGCAGCGCCCGGGCCGGGGTCAGCTGCGGGGGGAGCGGCTTGGGGAGCCCGGAGGGTCCCCGGTGGGGTGCCCGCCGGCTGGAAGCTGCAGCCGCTGCGGAAGGGGAAGCGGCGCCTGCCCGCGGCCCGGACTCAGAAGAGGAAGGAGGCGGGATGGCCGTGGGGCCGGGCCCGGTCACCGAGAGGGAGAGGCGACTAAGGGCCGCGGCGGGAGGCCGGCCGGCGGGGGGCGGCCGGGGAGGGGAGCCGGGCGGACCGGCCGGGGCGGGGGCCAGCGCGGAGCCGCGGGGGGACGGGTTCCGGGGGGCAGCGAGGCCGGGACGGGGTCCGGGGGGAGGACGAGGTCCGGGGGGCGGGGGCGGGGGTCCCGGGGGGAGGACGGGGGCCGGGGCCGGGGCCGGGGCCGGGGGGAAGGAGCGGGGTGCGGGGTCCGGGGACGGGGTCTGGGTCCGGGGGCGGGGGCGGCGGGGAGGCCGGGGTCCGGGTCCGGGTCCGGGGGCGGGGGCGGCGGGGAGGCCGGGGTCCGGGTGCGGGGACGGGGCCGGAGAAGGCAGGGAGGCCGGGGTCCGGGTGCGGGGACGGGGCCGGAGGAGGCGGGGAGGCCGGGGTCCGGGCGCGGGGCCGGGGGCCGGAGGAGGCGGGGAGGCCGGGGTCCGGGTGCGGGGACGGGGCCGGAGGAGGCGGGGAGGAGCGGGGTGCGGGGTGCGGGGACGGGGTCCGGGTCCGGGGCGGGGGCGGCGGGGAGGCCGGGGTCCGGGTGCGGGGCCGGGGCCGGAGGAGGCGGGGAGGAGCGGGGTGCGGGGTGCGGGGACGGGGTCCGGGTCCGGGTCCGGGTGCGGGGCCGGGGCCGGAGGAGGCGCCCCCGCTCCTCACCTGGCACCAGCTCGCTCGCCCCGCGCAGGTCCCCGGGCTCCGCTGCCATCTTAGGCGGGAGGCGCGCGGGGCCCCGGGGGCGGGCGCCGGGGGGCGGGCGGGCGCCGGGGCCGGGCCGGGCGCGGGGGCGCGGGGCTCAGCGCGCCGGGCGCCCGGGGCACATTCCGCGGGGCCGCCCCGCCCCAGCGCCCGGGGCCGCGGCCGCGGCGATCGGGGCCCGGCAGCCGCTCGGCCGGGCAGACGGGGCCCCCGGCGCCCGGGGCGATCATGGAGGAGCCCCGCCGCCCCGATCGCGCCGTGGCCACTCGCCGGCGGCGGGCAGACTGCGGCCGGGCTGGCGGCCCCGCGGCTGCTGCGCCGGCTCCTCCGCGGCGACTCTTCCTCCTCCGCCTCCGCCTCCGCCTCCGCCTCCGCCTCCGCCCCGGCCGCCCGGCCGCCCACTCCGTCCTCCGCCCGCCGCCCTGGCCGGTCAGCCTCCGGCCGCCCTTAAAGGGCCCGCCCCGCCGTCGCCAGGGCCGCGGTCACCTGGCGCCCGTCGCCAGGGCTTTGTTGGCTCCGCCAATGGCGGGCGGGAGCGGGGCCCGGGCCGCGGGGACCGGGGCCTCCGGACCCGCATCCATGAGTGAACCGGGGCGGGGTGCGCAGCGCCCTCCCTGCCTCTCCGCACCCACGTTCTCCTAAACTCCTGCACATGCACACGCACACATATAGACACACACATGCACACACATGCGCATATATATGCACTGCATGCCTGCATGTATACATGCACACACGTGCGCCGCACACACATGCACATGCGCGCGCACATGCACACAAGGAGACCTCGGCTCTCCTCCCGGCCTCGCCCCGCCCCCGCCCCGCCCGCCGGACGCACCCCTGGGCCCGGGAGGCCGGGGAGGGCCCCGGGGCGGGCGGCTACCTCCGAGCGCCGAGGACCGCGGGCCGGCGTCCTCCGCGCACGCCGCGCCCTGGGAGAAGGAGCGCTTGGTTCTCATCGGGGCGACCGTGCCCATCCGGCCCCCGCGCGCCCCGCTCTGGCCGCCGCCGGCCGCGGGCATCACAAACGCCCCCCGCGCCGGGCGGGGCGGCCCGAGAGGGGCGGGGGCCGGGACAGGCCGGGGACAGGCCGGGGGCAGGCCGGGGACAGGCGGGGGCCGAGGGGCCCGGACAGGCCGGGGACAGTCTGGGGGCCGAGGGGCCGGGGGCCGGGGACAGGCGGGGGCCGAGGGGCCCGGACAGGCCGGGGACAGTCTGGGGGCCGAGGGGCCGGGGGCCGGGGACAGGCCGGGGACAGGGACAGGCCGGGGGTCCTGGGTGGGGGGGGGACACCCACCCAGAGCGCCTTCCCGCCGCCGCCCCGCAGGAGCGCGGGGAGGGTGTGCCACCCCTAGGGCGCCCCCCCTAAACCCCCCCCCCCTGGTTTGTGGACAACTTTAAGGCCTGGTCCCGCGGCCGGCCAGGGAGAGGGCACAGGATATGAAAATGGCGCTCCAGGCCCATGTCAGAGGAGCATGTGCCCCGGGGTTTGTGCAGGAATCAGAGGGGCAGACGGCGGCGCCCCCACCGCCCAGAGGAAAAGGGTTCAGGGGCTCCCACCGGCCTCTGCCCAGGGGCAGCATCGCGGGCTGCGCAGAAGCTAACCAGGCCCGGACGAGGATAGGGGCACATCGCCCCATGAGCAGAAGGAGGATCCAGAGCATCTCATGCTGATGGACACGCCTCTTCAGGAAAACCGACCCTAACATCCAACCCTCTAAGCCCAAGGCCAGAATCCTACCCACGGAGAGCCAGAGGAACCGCTAAAGAGCACCTTTCCCCACCCCCAGTCCTCGCAGCAGGAAAACTATCTCAGAAGAGGTTTTTTTAAATGTGAGCCTCCTGAAAAGGAGGCATTGTGAGGCTGGTTCCACTCCGCTGAGGCGCATTCCCTGTTTTAGGGCCAGGGGCCCCTGGCTCTGAGCTCCGAGAATGGAAACATCCCTTGAGCACCATGGTCCACAGTCACACAATCAGTTGCATTTTGCCTGCTGTTGAGTCCCCCAAATCTTGGTGTCAACAAGCACGTGGGCCAATTCAATTCAAAGTTCCTGAAAAATCCCCGCTGAGATGTGTATATGGAAAAGCCAAGCGCTCCCACGTCTCAACCAACCTGCCCGCCTTGATGAAAAGGCTAAACGAATTCATCCATGGAGAGCTGTATCCAGATCTGCCGTTTGAAGTCAGGCAGAATCTGAATTCGCTGACCAAATTCCCGAAGAGTTTTTCACCCCCGTTTTGTATCAGAAATACTGCATCAGGAAAAGAAGGTGGGGTTCTCATTCAATGCGCACTCCGCATTTCTCAAAGGAAGCGGTCTGATGAAAAGAACTCAACTCTAGGCCCTCAGAGAAGGCAGACTTCCTTGAACACCCTTTTGTTACTTCTTAAATTGAGTTTACAGAAACATGTTCTTCCTGTAATTCTCTCGCTTAGAAATTCGGGTCATGAGGAGTGAATCACGGCCTAAACAAATAGACATGTCCTTCCAATTGAGCCCTCAAAATGAAGCGGTTTATTTTTCCTTAGCACACGTACAATAGGAGCATTAGAATGACATTTTTGAAGGTGTAATATTCATTTCAAAGAACCTTAAGTTTAAAAAAAAAAAGTGATTGTCTGTATAATCCAAGCTCTCGGGCAAAATCTGCAGAACCTTCATACATGCACAGAAAAGCCCGCAGGAAAAATGGGCGCAGTGCACACAGCACACTCCGTGTCAAGGTTCTAACGAGATCACAAACACTATTCTCCCAACTATGAGGTCAGAGTTCCCACTGGTTGTAGTTTCATAATAAAGCCCTGATTTCGCTGTCCGTGGAGGAGGATCATGGGAGACGCTCCTTTCCAATCACCCAACTTCATGTAAAAGTTAGGACTCTGCTTTCAAACAAACAAAGTGTCTCACACAAAGGAAATACGGAGAGAACAAGATGTCACTCGCCTGCAGGAGAGGGAGCCAGTGTTATTCACAGAAATGGAATAGCAGAGGAGTGGCTGTAAAGAACAGCATTCCGTCTAACGCTGCAGATGTCCTGTGAGTGCTGCCGCCAGAGAGCAGGCCCGGCCTTTGCTTGCGAGCAGCAGAGCGGGGAAAGCCAGAGCTGAAGGCAGCTCCGAAATACGCCGCCACCCGGTTCCAACCCTGCCCCTCGCGGCTGTCCTGATCGCCCTTAGTCACTCGGGAACATAACGACCCCTCTGAAATGCAAGGGCTGGGCATCGACGGGTGAGCCAGGAGGTCTCGGTTCCATTCCCGGTCAGGGAACGTGTCTGGGCTGTGAGCTCAGTCCCCAGCGTGGGATGTGCAGGAGGCAGTCAATCAATGGTTCTCTCTCATCATGGATGTTTCTATCTCTCTCTCCTCCTTCCTCTTTGAAAAAAAAAAATTATATATATATATACATATATATATATATATATATATATATAGAGAGAGAGAGAGAGAGAGAGAGAGAGAGAGAGAGTTCTCTCAGACCACTTCTTCCTCTTAGTCTTTCCCAGATTAGGTCCTTCCCACACACACACTTTTTTTCAGCCTTTTCTTAAACCCCACGGCCCCCTTGCTGTCCGGTCATTCTCTTCTCGATTTGTCTATATCCCTCAGAGTGTGTCCCAGAGCGAACGTAGGCCGGTGGTGGCCTGGCCGCCAGCTCTGATATCAGAAGAAAGCAGTGAGGGGAGATTCAGATGGGAACCAAAGCCATACAAAACATAAAATACTAATTGTATTACTTCCCTGTAAGAAAATATCTTCTTTCAAGAAAAAGGCAGCCCAGATGGCCCAAGGCCTGGCAGCTGTGATATTTACATCTTGTATCTGTTTCAAATAACGTTTCTCAGAACGTATCCTTAGAACATGCACTTCTAGTTCGTGTCATCATCCTGGGACCCAAACAAGTAGAAGAAAACATAGCACACATACTCTGAATTCTCTCTAAAAGTAATTTTCAGTTTAACTCGGAAGCCAGGACTGCAGAAGCCTGCACTGCTGGGGAATTGGAAACACAAGGTCATTTCGATTGCTTGGATGTTTGAGAATTAACTCCCTGCCTGATGCCAGGAGCCATGTAAAGCAGTTTTGGGTACAATAGACATACAAGAAATAGTGACACTTACAAGAAGAATACCAAAAATACAAAGACAGTGTGGCTGGTGAAGCAGCCACCCACTATGCTAAGACCTGGGCCTACCCCCACCTCACTCTGCACCCCTCTAATCACCCATGCCTTTAAGAGTTCCAAACCAGCCCTAACCGGTGTGGCTTAGTGGATAGAGCGTCGGCCTGCAGACTGAAGGGTCCCAGGTTCGGTTCCAATCATGGCCATGTACCTTGGTTGCGGGCACATCCCCAGCGGGAGGTGTGCAGGAGGCAGCTGAAAGATGTTTCTCTCTCATCGATGTTTCTAGCTCTCTATCCCTCTCCCATCCTCTCTGTAAAATAACCAATAAAATATATTTTTTTAAAAAGAATTCCAAACCAGAGGAGAGACAGCAGGAACCAGGCGGGACCTGGGACATCAGTTAGTTCCCGTGTTTCAGGCATCGCTCTGTCGCCAATGGCACGCATTATCTTAGACCGTTTGCCCTGCCGTTAAGCAGGAATTATAATAATTTCTAGCGCGTAGGAATAATAGTCGAATTGAAGAAGTGTGCCATGTTGTCATGCCATTGTACACAAAAATGTGTTATTGATATAAAAGCCTACGGTAGATACTAAATTATTTCCAAAATACGATTTTCACGATCTTCCCCTTATCGTGCCTATTTGAAGGCAGGTATTGTTCTTAGCTTCCTCCCACTTCACCACATCACACAGCACACACGGAGCCGCTCGTTTTATCCGCTGAGGACAGCTCCAGGGTGAAAGGGCGCCGCCCTTCATTCCGGATTGCCTGTGGCCATGGCGCTGCCTCCGGAGTATGACGGGGGGGGTGGGGGGATGGCGGGGGAGGGCAACGACCTCCCCCCTCCTCCCCCGCCTGCAAGAGTCCTCAGGGAGCCCCCAAATGGCCCTGCTCTGGCTCGCCTGCCTTTGCTCGGTCTGTTCCAGAAGC